AACACGACAGCTGAATAGCACTTCAACACTCAGCAGTGAGCTGAGACATAAAAAAGAAAATCTAAAAATCTTCAGTCTTTTTCATGGATGGATATTCACTGTCCTTTGAAACTGCAATCATTTTGTTAAAACACCATTTCAGTGATGAAGAATACATTTTTAAGTGCCAAGCTGGGACAATTGTGGGGTTTCTGCTGACATTGAGACGCTTTTTTGTAAAGCCACAAAATTTAGCTAAGCTTTAAGCAAACTGTGCTTCTTTCCAGCCTGTTTGCTTCTGTCTTCTCAACTGTACTTAAACAACCTTTAGAATCACTTTCCAATGCATACATTTAAATGTGATGCCAACAGCATATATACAACTGCAAAAAAAAAACGAGGAAATGAAGGTAATCAGCTGGTGGAAATCAAATTTGGCAAGTGAAAGCCAAGGAAAGAAAATCCAAGATATGAAACTACCAAATCCGGACATGAACCGTGTCTCATGGCTGAAAAACCTAAGAACCTCTAAGCACTTAGAGATCCAGCAATGTGGCATATGGGACTCTATGAATTCAATTCAGTTTTATTTATACAGCGCCAAATCACAACAACAGTCGCCTCAAGGCGCTTCATATTGTAAGGTCGACCCTACAATAATACACACAGAGAAAACCCAACAACCATATGACCCCCTATGAGCAGCGCTTTGGCGACAGCGGGAAGGAAAAACTCCCTTTTAACAGGAAGAAACCTCCAGCAGAACCAGGCTCAGGGAGGGGCGGGGCCATCTGCTGCGACCGGTTGGGGAGAGAGGAGGAAGACAGGATATGAGCAGCAGTATTTGATGCACTGGGATCAGAATGTGTTGAACTGTCATGCCGTCATGGATGGATGGTTGGGTTTGTTAACAGGAGAAAAAACCCCCAAAAAAACACCTAGATATAGTTGAATTTAATTGAATATTTGAAATGGAATATTTAGACCTCACTGATTACAATTATCATTTTTGACACAGACATTAAGTAAAAAGACAAGATATACTTAATCTATCCCAAAGTTGAGAAAGATTCAGATTCAGTCTTCTTTCCATCTGAGGACTGCAAGTAAAATCTTCACCCTCCTCCATACTCAGCACTAATCTTTTGTCCGTGCACCAGATAAATTTAGATTTCTTAAAAATTTTGTACAAAAATTTTGTACAAAACAGCAGCTTCTTGCAGCTAAAGGCAAAGTTAGGTTTAAGCAAACAGTACCCGAGTCCCTCTAAAAACCAAGCCCCTCAGCAAAAAGAGGCTAAAAGCCACATTAGGTGCATTTACAGGTTTGTCTCTGAATCATGTCAGCCATTGCTTTTATTAAAAATATTCATTAGTGGAGCTTACTCATTATAATGAGTGAGAATGAGAAAAGGCCACAGCCTACACCTGAAATGCGTTCGAAAAGGAGGCAACATTTTCTCATCTGACAAGTTTCTTTGCTCTTTGTCTAAAATGTAACATTTATTAGCTGCATTGTCTCTGCCATTTCTTCTTTGTATAAGAGTGTGGAATCCAGTATCTGTATTCAGTCCGTTCATGCATGTGTTAGCTTTCTGCGCTGGGAGGAGCCCACACAAAATGAATTCATGAGAGCTCGTGTGAACCTCTACATGCAGAAGTTTTATGTCGAGCCTCTTTTGCATGCTGGGATGCTGCACGTGGAGCGAGTGAGGCGAGAGACTGAATGCAAACAAGGCAAAACCAAGCTATTTTCACACCCTCACTTTGTGGAGCTAAACAACATTACGCTACAAGAATCTTTTTTTTTCATGTTGTGGTGTCTGTCTGACAGCATCATCCATTATTTGTCCGTGTCTGAAAAGGTTAATGAAGTGGTCTTTTTTTTAATACAAGAGAGCAAAGCGGGGGGAACCCCCCCCCAAAACAGAGCCATGCATCATAGCTGTAGTAATTACCATATTGTATTTACACATTGTAACAGGCTGTATTGATCTCCATATTTTGATGTATACTAGTGGATTACACATTTCTGCAAGCATGCCAACAGTGTTTAATGTTCCTGTAATCCTCCACTCACCACAAACACAACAGCAATTATAAAGTTGTCTGTTATTGGACCTGCGTCGCTGTTCCAGGGAATGAGAAAACCCTTAATTGGGGTTTGTAGTTCAGACAGCATTTGAGTGCGTTTGATTGGATTGGTTAGCATGTGGCTCACGTATGTAACATTATATCTGCCTTCTGTGATTGATGAACTGGTGTTAGTGGGCCTGCCTACCACGGCTGCTGTTGCCCGAGCAAGTGCTGACAAATGACTCACCGGCATGAGTGAACAGAAACACTCGACCGCACGCTGCCACACCGAGACGGATATTGACTGTGAGAGCAGTGTGTCTTCTCATTCTCTCGGCTGTCTGGTGACATAATGGCCACACGGAGATTGTCATGCTAAAGGCCATCTTTAAACCTAATGTAAGACACGGGGACTTTTCTTTATACAACTTTACACGACTGCTTTTATCGACACGTTGGCATCAGAAACGTTGCGAGAGCTTTGGCACTTTTAACAGCCTGTAATTGAGAAAAAACAGAGCTAGGCTTTCACAGTTATGAAACTCGACAAATAAGATTGGGCTGACAAAAGGAGTCAAACTCTGCCTTATATACTACCTTATATATTCTTAGTCACCAAAAAGACTCAGACCATAGAGAGGATGGATAAAAGCTTATAAACACAAGGCAACCATTTAGGATAGGACAGTAGAAATATATGACACTGTTAACGATAGAACTTAAACTCCAAAACATTCAGTAATAATGCTCTAATATTGAAGGTAAAATGATCATCATGCACATAAGTGAACTTTCAGTTTTCCCATTGGACTGTTTTAGGTTCTTAGTTTGGAAACCTGTCATTAATAACACTGACCAACAGAAACAGCACTGAGCAAAATAGCAACGCGACAAACATTCTAGTCTTACAGTACCTATACTTATATATCTATAGGTACCTGAAAAAGTGTCTGTGAACTGTGATCACATTAAACACACTTATCTTTTTCTTCTTCGAGAACTTTCAGCAGCTCAGCATTTTCTGTCTTATCCTGCAAACTTTTTTCATATACTTCCCAGATATTGCTGTATTTGTATTCTGCCAGGAACACTGTGCTTTACTGTCTCCTAATGTTCGATCCCAAAACTTTTAGATTAATATTTTCAGCTAATAAAACTATATTCGTCACTTTTTCAGCCAGTACAGCCTGTATGTAGTGTAAAATTTACCAGGGCTCTTGGAGCTCCTCTGCAAGCCTATTGCCTGTGGTACACAGTAACACATTTGTAACAAATCCCTTTCCCTCCAGCCTTGACAGGACAGTAGGAGAACAGTGGGGATGTTTTTCTCATGTCCTGTGGAAATTAAACCCTTTCCAGAAATGGATGCTGAAGCAGTGCTTCCTCTAAAACATTTACAGCACATTTTGCCCCTTAAGTCGGTGTTTGCGTTCTTTAACATCTTAAAATCCGTGAAGCTGTCGGCCAACTGGTTAGGGATAGGTTTAGGTTCACATCTACCCCTTTATATGGAATTGTCACCTAATTGACATCCAAATGTAAATTTGCAAGTCCAGAATGTGATATTCATACCATGCTTGGTAAATGGTAAATGGCCTGCATTTGTATAGCGCTTTACTAGTCCCTAAGGACCCCAAAGCGCTTTACACTACATTCAGTCATTCACCCATTCACACACACATTCACACACTGGCAATGGCAAGCTACATTGTAGCCACAGCTGCCCTGGGGCGCACTGACAGAGGCGAGGCTGCCGGACACTGGCGCCACCGGGCCCTCTGACCACCACCAGTAGGCAAACACGGGGTTAGTATCTTGCCCAAGGATATTTGGCATGCAGCCAGGAGGCAGCCTGGGATCGAACCACCGACCTTCTGATTAGTGGCTGACCATGCTTAGTGGAACTGTAATAATGAGTTCCCCCACCCTGACTATCATAGCTGAGCGTTGTAGATATTGTGAGAAGACAAATTCAGGAGTAGCTCAGAGTGGAGTCACTTTTTTGAGCATGTCCAACTGGGAGGAGACGTAGATCTCACTGAGGGCAGGGAGCTATGGGCGTCTCAGCATAGACTGCTAACCCAACACATCACCTGACCAGGATAAGTGATGGATGGACTGATGGGTGGATTGATTATCGTGGTCAGAACTGTCCTGACGTTTAAACCAGAGTTCTGATGGTTGTTTTTTGCTTGTGTTTTACTCACAAACACCTTCTAGTGTCTGACCTCAGCAAACTGCTACTTTACTGCTACTCCTGATGCTGACAGTACTTATGGCGGTTGAGGTCCACCGATTCAATTATATTTGCATCTGATAATAAGCAGGAATTTTGGACGGTGTTTTTTTGTCCTTTTTCTGGGGGCTGTGCCAGAATTCGGCAAAAGAAAAGTTGGACCTCTAAGAAGAGAAAGAAGCTCATGGGAAATCAAAGCTCTTAAGGCCTGACTGAGCATAGGCAGTGAGCATGAAGACAGAGACAAACAGCGGGTGCACGCTGCTGCTGTTACACACACCCATTTGCTGCAAGATGTATCATACTGATTATATCATCAAACCTAACAGATACAAATTATTTTTCGCGATATGGTATCATCAGTGGAAAACTGACTGTGGATGACAAGTTTTTATATGCTAATCTGCAGCCTCACTGGTAATAATATGCTTTATATCTCAGATATGGTAATCAGTTCTGATTGAATTGTCTCTGTGTATTTGTCTTTTACAAGTGGGTGAATTGGAAGAAAAGCGACAAATAATTCAGCACAATCAAAGAAGAAAACTCACACGCTTGCATTTTGATGCACAAATGTTTCACTGTAGGCTATCCTCCGCTGGCCTGTCTTTCTGCTCTGTTTGGGCTAACTGTTACTGCTGCTGTTTTGTGAGCTGTTTTCTCAGCCTGCTTGCAGTGTCCCTAATCTTTCATCTTTGTGACATTTTCAGATCATGCTGCTAACCGATCCGGAGATAGAGAGCAGCCTTCTGATCAGCTCTGATGAAGGAGCCACCTACCAGAAGTACCGGCTGAATTTCTACATCCTCAGCCTTCTCTTCCACCCTGAGCAGGAGGACTGGATTCTCGCCTACAGCCATGACCAGAAGGTGAGAGAACGGCTGAGGCGAGTTCAGTGGCCAGTTGTTCAAAAGGAATCAAAAGAGCGTTAAGTAAGATAAGCAACAATGAGGGCAGGATTACAGTGGCCAGGAGCAAGACGGATAAACCTGTTACACAAGAGTTTAGCTCAAGCACGGGTCAGAGTTCACGAGTTTCACTTGAGAGGGAAGCGGATAAGTGAGGATAGTAATATTAAAACTGGCGTGGAAGCCCGTTTCACCAGGAGAACAGGAGAAAGATGGGAATTATGATGCTTTTAGTCAGACGTGTATGCTGAAGTTCACTTTGAAAAAGTCTGGCTCATCTTCTGACTTTACCTCTGGAGGCAAGGGCCAGTGTCACAAAGACATCAAGATAGCAAATAACATGATATCAGCTTCGAGCCTTCTTGTTTTATGTGACCAGTCATTGTTTGCAAATGTGGAGAAATTCAAAATGGCATATAATATAGTCCTCTGTTTTTAACAGGGACAGTACTTTAGCCTTGAGAAATGCCAAGTTATTCTGAAAAAGACTGACAGCACTCACTAGACAAGCAACACTAAGACAACAAACAAGCCCTCTATGGAAGGCCCAGTCCTTAAATTAATTTCCTTTTGCTATATTCAACCCAGAGAATCCTTTTTTCTTCCTCTTGGTGGAAGTGGGCTTCCATACACTGCAGCTGTGTGCTGTTTAAAGAACCATGTTCACGGATAAGTGATTCGGAAGTTAAAATGCACCAACCCAATAATCCAGAACCCACACAGCTCAGCTCACGCGGGCCTGCAGCTACGTAACGAGCGGTTTTAGGTTGAGAAATTCCTTTAAATCTCTTAAGCATCTTAGCTGTTAACAAGTCACCTGGTTTGAATGCACTGCATTTCAAAATGATGCCACCACATATGAAGCCAGACTTTATAATACACCTCCAGCATGGCTAAAACGAGGCTTCTCATGAGGAGAATGAGCCACTTTAAAACTTCAGTGGGCGCAGTCTCACTGTTAGTGATATTAATTCATAGAAAATGTATTTTGAAAACCTCATAAACATGTTGCATTTATAAAACAAGGTGGAGTCTGTTGATTTGCCATTTCTGTTTTTATAAACAAACAAACACCTGTTCATCCTCAACCCGTTTATTTATTCAGCACATTTGCTGAACCTAAATAATTCACAGGTGGTATTAGCTCTATATATGGAGGATTTCTTTAGTTGTTTATCTCTTTGTAGGTTGTTTAGCTTATTGGGTTCTTTTAAGCCACAGACAACATACTGAGAGTCTCACGGCGTTTGAATTTTGAGATAAGTAAACTGAACTTGGTTTAAAACGTACAGATATGAAGTTCAAACCAACTGGTGACCCAGATGTTCAAAGAGTCTTTTTTCTTTTTACATTTTCTCAGTATGTATGATTTGTTCTTCAGTCAAGCTCTGAAAGTGCACCTGAAACCATTTTTGTATTGGTAATAAAATAAAATAAATAAATCATTTCCAGGGAATTTGTGCGTGGTAGAAGCTGAACTCGTGACCTCTGACCTCTATCATGCTTATGACTGTTTCTGTTCTTTTGAAATGAAACAGCTTTGACTTAATCTGAGCTGTATTAAAGCACACGGTAGCTTTGTTCAGACTCTGAACTTACTAACGATCCGTCGGGGGGAGCCAAGGTTTTTGTGTTTTATTGACCCAATTTGACGAGCGGAGTGAACTCTCTGCTGTGAATTCATTCAGCTCCTCATTTCCGTCTAAAGTTCTCGAGTTTCTAAAGAACTGTCAAAAAAAGAGAAAGCTACACTGAAATAACTATGAACTAAGCCTCAGTATTGACACTGACTTTTTTTCTCAGTCATCATTTTATTAGCACACAAACTGAAAATTAGAGATTGGAGAAAACACTGACTCATCTAATGTAGGAAGCAGTGTGGGGAGAAAGTAGCTGTATGTCTGAGGCAGAAACAAAAAGAGGTGGAATTTATAGACATTTTAAAATGACCGTCTGCATTAATAAAAATGCTTTTCTTGCAGCTCAGCCCATTTGGGTCTAATATTTCAGCTGCGATGAATAATGAAGGGATCCTCCTTTGTTGTGGACGCGTGGATATGTGGATGTACAGAGTGTGGGTGAACTTGCCTGTCTCTTTTACAATGAAAGTAAATCACGCTCTTACTGATGCTTCCAATGCGCACAATGCACACACACACACACACACACACACACACACACACACACACACACACACACACACACACACACACAGTTAGCCTATCAGTTGTAGGGACAGATTTACTAAATAGGGTGTGAGTGCAAATCCCATGTGCTGCTGATAGGTGTGGGTAGGTTTATGGATGATTGACCAAACCACCTTTTCTGTTTTTCTAAACAGGTCAGTTCATTTCAACATGACACACCTCGTCTGCCAAGAGCTGTGCAATTTAGCACAAGGTTGCAAACTAAGAGATATTCAGCTGCAGATCAACAGGACAGGCACCGCTTGTTAATTGGAATCAGGAAAGCATATAACTATAGACATATAGGCCATACACATGTAGAGTTATTATGAAGGAAACGGTTGTCAGGTTCAAATGTAGTACTGCAAGCCATACGACAGTTTTCTATTGTCACGTTCTGTGGCACTGTTGTACTAAGAAAGCTTACAGTACTTAAAGGGATAAAACCAACTGGAAATGTATATGTCACATAGTGTCAGCGTGCACACAGCTGAATTTGTCCACCACAAAAAAACACAGTCATGTGTGCTCTCCGTGGTCCTGAAATGATAAAAAGGATCTACTGGATTCATGCCGTAATGGGTCGGGGCTGTTTAGCAGCAAAGGAGGAACCGACACAGTCTATCTCTGCATGTGGTATTGCTGCCGCACAACAGCAAAGAGCACACTCTGCGGATCTGTGATTCTTTGTTATTAAACATCAGCATTTTTCAGCATTTTTGGTTTTGGTTTTAATTTTCAGATTTTAGTCCCATTTTATGAGGCTTGGGTTCAAGAAGAGCCCGTGTTTGTGGTTAAAACCCGTCCTTTCATAAAGGTAATTATGTGTCGAAAGCAAAGCTGGGGCGCGGTCACTGATGGTGGTGGAGCGACACATGATGTCACAGGAACAGCACCAACGCAGCGCTGTCAGGTGATGTCCTACCTTGCATCACCCAGCAGATGATGTAGTAAACAGTATATTAAAACTTCATGCTCTGCTTCTGTACCATTTCTTTGCTCGCTGTATGTCAGGTGTCAGGACTTGCTCAACCCCCCCCTTTCTTGCACTTACACTCGCTGCCTCCCCCACCCAGCTGTGCTCCCACCCACATGCATTATCTCCACCCTAAAGTGCTTCTCTTTCAATCTGCTCACCTCCTTTTTGGCAGTGCTGTTGAATTTCTTGACTAAGAGACCTTTTGGAGGTTGTAAAGACTGCGTCAACCCCCTGCACCCAACTTAACAGTTGCTGTCACTTGCTTGGCTACATACTAACTTGCTGTAGGAGGGTAATTAGTCAGAGTGATTTCCTGCCCCCTCCCACTTCCTTTCTCTGGCATCTGCTTAGCACAGCGTTGCATAGATGTCATGGAAATCTTATCAGCCGTGCTGTTTGCCATTTGTCTCGTCGCTGTTCGACACGCGAATGCGCACGAACCAGATGCGATAGTGAATATATAGTTTGCATATACTTAGGATGAGGCAGGTAAGCTTCGTGTCTCAGAAGCCCCACTGCTTTCTACAGTCACCATCATGCTGAGTGTTTAGCTGTTTTTTTTTTTATTTAAAGATATTGAGCAATATAGTCATATAATTAAGGCTTTTAAAGTGAAATGCTATTAGAGAGTAATTAGTAAAACTTTTTTAAAAAAACAGAATACAATCATTGATTTGACATCAGTAATAATCTATCAAGACACGGTCTCAGGGATGTTTTTTGAATGCAGGCCTCCATGCTACCCTTCAGCACAGAGTAAATATATGCAATTAGAAAATAAATGAATATAAACAAACAGAGTCACATTTCTGTTATCCACTAATAAATGATTGTTTACACATTCTGCATGGCTGGCCATGCTTAAAATGGAAAAAGGTCCAGCCTGAAACACTGAAATAAGTTTCATGGCTCATTAAATTCCAGCTGTAAGCTACAGAGTAAACGGATTTGTCAGAGAATGCAGTTGTTTGGGGACAAAAAGACTGTCAAGGTTGTTGATATACTGAGCAAGCAGCACGCAGATGCCTGCATAATCATCAAACAAACAAAATGGATTGATGTGATTTTTTACATTTGATTTCAAATAGCACATAAAGAGTCAGAGTAGGATTAAAATGATTAAAAAAATCATAGTTTTCATGGTACAGTAAGAAGCACAGGTCTGCAGATATTTGACTGTGACTTTTCTGCTTCCACTTCATAAAATATTAAATAGATTTTAAAAGCCTTTATGAAATATTTAATGAAATAATATTTTGTGCCTATTTTAAAAAGGAATTCAACTCATTATCATATTACAAACTGTTATATTTAAACATTTTATTTGATGTTTTTGAACTTTCAATTTAGTATTTTTTGTGATAACAAACAAACACAATGTTAACATTCTCTGATAAAGGACCACAGAAGAGAGAAAAACAGACCAAGATCAATAAAATAAAATATCATGAGGGGAGTTTATAACCTTATAGTGCAACATTCAGGATTCTTGTTCATTCACCAGGTTTCTGGTCACACAGTTTCATCTCTGGTGGACGCTCACTGTCATTCACTCCGTTGTGTGAACTCTTTTCAGTCTCTGTTTCCGTTGTGTTATGAATGGTGGGCTTGGTTGTTTCCATTTCACAGTTATCATTTTCTTAGCTATCAATAGGAGTATCTGTAGATTCTTTTTTTTTGTCTGGGCTATATGCCTCTCTAGGTATAACTCCTAAAAGAAATAAGGTTGAATTTAATGGAGGATTAACTTGTAGGATTTTCTGTTTCTTCTTTGATTCTTTTCCAGAATCCTCGAATTATTGGACAATCCCCACAAATATGTGAATAATCTGCTGTTTCCCCACATTTTCTCCAAGGGCATAGTTCTTTATTAGGTATATAAGATACCTTGTGACAGCTTTTGCTTCCCATATATTATCAGTGATTATAGCATTTAATTCTAATTACCAGTTCTCCTTAATATAAACCGTATTTTGGCACGACTCATTTATTTTGTAAATATGAGAAACATGTTTCTTAGTTGGGAGATGTTTTTCCATAATATTAATATTTAAGCATTTTATATCCAGTTATCCTACATAATACATTACATTATACATAATTCTAAAGAATATAGATTTAAAAGACTGTATTACAAAAAAAGCATGTCTAATATAAATTTCGCCCTAAACGTGAGCACCTCCTTGATGAGTTATGCAGTCCCACCGTTTTCCATCACTTCCCTCGTCTCAAACTCGTCATCCAGACAACATTACTGTCATGAAAAAGCTTATAAAAACATCATTGTGAAATATGAAACTGAATATGAAAAAAACAAGAAACAAATTAAAAACAGTCAAATTAATTATGAAATACCATTTGGCCAAAACAATTAGAACTTTAATAACTTCCTTTTGCAAATAGATTCTTGATTAACACAGCGGTATGGTACAATAAAATCCCATTATTGATGTTTGTGGTAGCATGTGTGTGTGCGCCTGTCATCTTTCTGTCTGTAAACTAGTGATGTGTCGGTTGCGAACGAAACGGCTCTTAGGGCCGGGTCTTTGAGGTGAACTCCTTATTTGGAGCCATAGGGGTTTTTTTCTCTCACCCTCTCTCTCGCACTTTTTTCCCGCTTCACCCCGCACGCGAGCCTTGTGCTTTGCGCTGGGCAGAGGGGGGAGGGGCGGAAGTTACAGTCAGTAGCACAGGAACAGAGCGGGAGGGAGAGAGAGAGAGAGCCAGGGACAACAACGTCACACTAGAAAGGTAGTAATCATCCACAACTATTTTCAGGTGCAGATGATAAAGGATTCAGAAAGCTTATTCATGCAGGTCCATATGACAGAGAATATGCATCTTCTTTTTGTTTTCATATTATAATTTATATTTAATTGTGTTGTGGTTTGCAGTGTTTTGTGTTGTTTCACTTTAAATTTGTTTAAAAGGAAAAAGCTGAACATTTAAATAGTTAAAAGTTGAAATGTAAATAGTTGTTTTTTTGTATTATATGATTTATTTATTACATTTTATGTGGAGAGAATAAATAAAAGTATATTTACGGTGCCCGCTAGAGACAAAGCACGTACAAACTCCAAAGCACGTACAAAACACAACAGAAGTGCTCCAGGATGCTAGGTGCAGTGTTGAGCTTTAGTGGCTACATAAGTGTGATGTGTGGTAGCAACAGGTAAATGAACTTTTTTTTTAAATTATTTGAATATATATGAGTGCTGGTGTATAAATATACAAACAATACACATGTGCTTTCAATTAATTTAAGTGATCTTAGGTAGCTCTGTTTTGGAGTTTGTACGTGTTTTGTCTCTAGGAGCCACCACATATATTTATATATAAACATAAAGGTTTTGAACGTATTCTGCTGGTAAAGACCGCCCACATGGCGAGTGGGGATTTGTAAAGAAAAATACAAACACACACTGATACCACTGTTATTATTACTGCTGTTATTCCTGAAGAACAGATCATTAATTTTATGAACAAAATCTAGAATATCAGTGTGCCGAGATCACAAATTCAGTGTAATACGTTGTATCTTGAAGACAGATAATTAGTCAGTTAGTCTTTCAGTAATTCCATAATTGCTTGAAGAACACAACTTGAATAAGCTGAAGTCTCTCAGTTCTCAGTGGATGTGAGTCTGGAATGAACGGAGACACTCGGGGGCTCCTTTGTGGACATCTGGATGCATTACACACAGATTTTCACATGTATTCTCTGCTTACTGTGTAAACGATAAAATCTCAGCTTCCAGCGATTTACCCACCAGTGAATAACGTCTGTATGGAGACCACCCACTACGCTTTGGCTCCTCATATCTCATATGTCGCTGCAATTTGCAGGCTTGTTACAGCGAGGCACATTTCTGTAGCGTATGAAAAGCTGCACCCTACACATTTCATTCTTATCGTGTTTTTCATTGTGTTAATGGCTTCATGGCAAAATATTCTCTGTAAGAGTTCTCTAGTAACGCACAGCCGTGTGGGAAGACAGACAGTGATTACACTGCTAGATGTTTTTAAGCCATGTTATTCATTTGCAGTGTTTGAATATTATGTAAATTTTAATCTAATTTAATACCTTCGACTCGAGCCAAATATGTGTGTGAGATATTGTGAGAAAGCTCGTCTCCCACTCCTCGTTACGCTGCTGCTGTTAAATTGACGAATAAATCAAGGTGTGAAAACAAACCCACAGTAAAGAGTAAACACAGCTCGTGATCTGAAAAAGGCCAGTGTTATATAAAACGGTCAATTTCAGCAAGTGTTAAGATGCATGTGACGAAATACTCATGTCTGGTTGTCTTTCTGCAGCTCTACAGCTCGGTGGAGTTTGGACGGAGGTGGCAGCTGGTGCACGAGCGAGTGGCTCCCAATCGTTTCTACTGGTACGTACGGTGCGCTCGATAGTGTAGGATAGTTCCTAAATCAGCCATGATGCAGAACGGTTTTTGTTCTTTACAAATTACAGCATTGGCTTGCACAACGCATCCAACCGAGCCCGAATATTTCTTTATTTATAGTGTTTGTAAATTTTTAAAAATATATTATTTTTTTCAAACCAGCCAGCTGATAACATTTTTCATATTCTAGGAGAAAAACATGCAGCTCATCCATATTTAGCAATTGTTTAATGTCTGTGAAATTGTGACAATCCTTCTCTCCCCCACCAACCATATAATTGCTGTCCAACTGTGCTCAAGCATGTTGTCTGCCCTCTGTGTTACGGTGACACACCATCATCTGAAAAGGAACGTTTTTTGCAGTCCTATTGCACTACATGACTCCTGTAGAATCAGCTGTAGCTGGAATAACTTGTAGTGTTCATTTTCTGTGTGACTTTCTAAGTCTCTCACATCATTGTGGAGGAATTCGTTCCCTCTCTTCTGCTTCAGTTCATTGACGTTTGCAGGCATTTGTTTATGCACAGCTCTCACCACAGTCAGATTAAGGTCTGTCAATTTAACTCTTGCATAATCGTTTTCAGTCAAGCTTTATTTATTTTTCTCACATTTGACTCAGGGATACTTTAGTATGAGGAGTTCTTGACTGACTTAATAATTGCAAGCTGCCCAATGTCCTGTGGCTGCAAAACAAGCCCAAATCATCAGCCCTCCTCCGTTGTGCTGACAGTTGGTTTGAAGTGTTTGTGCTGATATGCTGTGTTTGATTTTCACCAAATATGGCGCCGTGCATTTCAGCCAAACGTCTCCACTTTGGTCTTGTCTGAAGATTTGTGGTTTGCCCACAGGCAGTTTTGCATGTCTGAGCAGAGTCAGAGATGTAGTTTTTGTGAATTTGTAGGGATGCATACAACCTTAAAAAAAACCTTTTTTACATGACTGTACATGATTTAAAGGTTTTTTTGTTTTTTTTTAAATCGTCACGTGAGAAAAAGTCAACTTTCAAGTAACGTAGTCGAGGCATTTTGAGAAAAATAGAATTAATCCAAAGCTACAATAGTCCTTGAGGCCTTGTGATGTGGTGCTATATAAACAGTGTTGGGTAAGTTACTTAGTAATTAGTAACTTAGTTACATTGCTAGTTACTTCTATCAAAAGTAACTCAGTTACTCGTTACTTTCAAAGTAACTAGTTACTAGGGAAAGTAACTTTGGTTTTATTCAGAATGCTCTTATTAATGTGTTGCTTCCCTGACTGAATGTGCATAATTCCACGAGAGAAATCCCACGCCTGGACCGTCGTCGACTGCTGCCAGGATTCTAGCCTACGTCACAGTGTCACGTGCGCTTTTTATGTCCAACACAGAAACTGCAGTCGTGGTGCTTTCAATTGTACTTGGATCTCGGAAATTCTGCCTTCCGAGTAGGAAGATGTAGGTAACTCCAGACTGCAGATAAGCTGCATATGTGTTTAGTAGTCATTTGTTTTTGTAGAGGGCTAGCAACACCAACCGTTTTCAAGGGCGTCGCCATATTGGAATCCAGCATTCTCTGATGAGGCTAACCAGAACGCCGTTTATTCGAGTGTGACATTATTCCCAGGTCCGTGTTCCGATTTCTGAAATAAGTCGAACGCAACACATGAAGTAACGAATAACGAGCCTATCTAAATCCCAGTAACGATAAACGTGTTCCTGATGTTGGCATAATAACTATTTACCTTCTTGTTACCACAATAATAACATAGTTAATGTTACTTAATATGAGCCAGAGAGGTTTTTAAGATTTCCTTTATTCATGTGTCTGACGTGCCTGATCGTCGAGTTCAGTCATGAAAAAAGGCTTCAGAACCAGTTTGGAGTGAATCTGAAAGTTTTCTCGTCCACTGAGATGAAATCAACTGAAATAATCGACTAATTTCTTTCAGCGGGCCTTAACCAGCAACACAAGTTGTCATCTTAACGTTGCTGCATTGCTTCATCTTCTCATAATTGTTACAATGTTCCCTGGCCTTCCCTCGCTGCCTCACTGCCACCGCCCCACAGTTGCTGTCCAACTCGGTGTTATCTAGCACGTCTGCCCTCTGTGCTGTAACTAACACGTAACAAAAAGCTTTCACCTCGACTAACTGCAGAGGAACCGTCGGGTAGTAACGAGCTGGGCAGCCAGGAGTGAAGGGAGCCTGAAGGGCTGATGCTGCAGAAGCTGTCAGAGTTCTATTTTGGGACGCTCGCTGTGCAGTAGGTGTGGTGGTAGTCGTGGTAATGAGGCTGCAGAGCGAGCTTATATCTGTAATATACATAGCCACCAAGAGTGTAATCTCATTTCGTGTTTTGGTAAACCTGAGCAGCACTTGGCCACACGCCGTTCTAACTTTGGCCACATTTAATAAGTTTGTGAGCTTAACGTGTGCAATTTGCCTGTGACATTACAAATGTGAAAAGCGTGCAGAGCTGCCTGTATGCGATATACTTTTGCAAGGCGACGGCTGCATCTCGTTTTTATGCATGCCTGTTCTGAGTCGCTTCAGAGGCCACACAGCTGTTCAGACGAGTGTCATACACACAGACGCCCCGCTGTAGGTGTGCCATCACTGAAAACACACAAGTTTAAACAAACCGTCCACTTCTTCTGTGCCCGTCTCACACTGCTCCTGGGTACCTGAATGGATTATTCAGTGAAAATGGAAATGTGGCTCAGATAACTAGGCCATGCTATTCACAGCTGCGTTTCATCTGGGAAATTACCAATACTACCAATAAGTATAATAATGATTAAACGATATAGTGGTCTCTGCCTCTCATTGTGTCTGCTTCACACAGACTCCCCTTTATTTCCCTCCTCGTTTGTGTGTGCGCTCTACCTGTCGACACAGCCTCTTTCCCAGCTTCTCTCCCCCGTCTCGCCCCACCTCCCCCGTTCTCTCCCCTCTGTGTGTTCTGCCTTTGCTTCTCCTCTGATCCCCCAGTCTTTTTAATACATATTTAATGCCGTAATGATTATATGCTATTCCATCTGCGGGCATCCCTACTGTAGTGCGAAAAATCAATGGCTTTTCCTCTCCTAATGATGCCAGGAAACATCTTCCTCCATTTTTCTGGGCGAAAAAGGACCTTGTGGGGACTCTGAACATTTAGATCGCACAGTAAACCCGAGGCCCTCTTTTTCCCTTTACAAGTTAAGCTGCCTTTCACAGTGAAGACAAAGACGAGGTAATTCCTGCAGCCAGCTCCTGCTGATGTTAAGCACGACTGTCATAGTGCTTGACTTAACCTATCCGTCGTCATAAATTTGTCTGACTTTGCAACACGCAATCTCTCGTGTTAGACAGCAGCTGCCATAGGTGACATCTGCCCGAAGGCAGAAGACCAATAGTGATGTTCCTGAAACACATTTGTCTGCCTTTCAGGTCGAAAATGGGTTTGGACAAAGAGCCGGGCTTAATTCACCTGGAAACCAGCATCACTGAAGGACGTGAGTAATTGAATTCCGAGTCCGGTGCTCCATTTTCTGCCGTCTTTGTACTGTATCGTGAACATTGTGCTAAAGTAGAGAAGAATTGGGAGTTGTGTGGACAATTCCATTGAAGGGTAATACGAAGGGACAGCGGAAATGGCCGAGTCGGGGGACACACAATGACAACGGACGGAAAAGTAATGCATATATTAGAATGCTTTTAAAAGCAAGTGATTTAGCTCAGGGGGGCTCTTTTAAGTAGAAAGAAACACTCTTCGTCCTGAATGACAATGAACACTGGGATATTTGGGGTTCATTTTCACTTTTCTGGGAGCGACTCCTTGTTCTTATATTTTTAATATTTTTCCCTAAATTTCGGCAATTTTCAGCAGCAACCCAAAATGCCAATAAAAATAAATATAGAAAAGGATTGAATTAAATGCAAAGAGCACAAATTACTGATAAACAAAAGTATGGACAGAAACTTACAGCATCTACTCTTTTAAACAGCACATTCTAAAACAAAAGTACATTTGAATAGTTTTAAAACCCCTGCAGATATAATCTAAGTACATAAGATTTTAGGGCTCAGTGCTGAACCCCAAAGGTAACTCAGTAAATCAGATATGACTTGATTTATTTTTATCTGTTGTTGAGATAACTATCATTGTGATAGCTTTCTGAAAATTTTCTTGCTATTTTTTTCCACAGAGGACGATCTGTGGTTGGTATTAATAAATCACCACTCCCACAGACTCCTCCCTTCTTTCTCAAAATTGCATCACTGCAATCGACGCGGATCTATTTGAGTTTAAACCAAACAAACAAAAAAGTACAAATAAAAAACAACTTTTTTGAAAGTGAGATAGATTGGCCTTTTATTTCCTACTCTTATAAACCGAAACAACGTTTGTTCTTTTCCTGTTTCGTGTAAAAATACGTGTTTGGGTGGACTGTCATTGGTTTTTCATTTTCAGTCCAAAGTGGAAAAATGGGGGAAAAGTTTGTACAAAAACTAGTAAGAGCCTGTTCTTATTCCACAATCTGTCAGACAAACTGATGCTTATTTATTTGCTGGAGCTATTTTTCTTTAATCTTTTTTTCTGCAAGAAAAATATTTCATGGATAAAATTCAGTTTTAACCTCCTAAGACCCGAACTCTTCCACGGCATGCATTTTTAATTTCTCTTTGATATTTGGGCTGATTGGGACCTGATGAAAGTAAAAACAAAGAATTGGCAGATTTTTTTTTTTTTTTACCTAATCTTTGTTTCTAAGAAAAATGAGAGCCATATGTGAGGATATTCATATAAAACTTCGATAGAACAGTGGCAGTATAATGTCCTCACAAGTGGATATCAGGCCCTTGTAGAGCAAAATTGAGTATTTTGGTCTAAATAACCCAAAATGTGATGTCCACATATGTGGACGCCAGGTCCTAGGAGGTCAAAGAAGTTAAAAAACACGATCTAGCTTTATTGGTGTTACTAAGAACTTAAAGTCAGGATATATCGGCCTTTGCCACTTCAGTTTTAACCACGTTTCAGTCTCTCTTTAACACTTAAATGATTGTAGTTAGTTTTTTCAATCTCACAGAGTTTGTATGGCACCTCTCTGAGGCCAATACAGTAAGGGAAAGCCAATCATCCAAACATGCATAGCAGACATCAATCGTGTCAGATGTTACAGTCGCACAGCCAGAGACTATCACTATTGATCATGCGCGCGTGGGGGGAGCCGGCACATATTTGGCAGAGGCTAACGTGTGGGGACAGGCGCTTTCCCAGCGCTGCGATTGAAGGCAAAGAAAGCAATTGGCTTCTGTGGTCATCTGTCTTCCCCTCCACCCAGCTCCTCCCTTACTGGGACCACTTTATTGACACGAGTAATGTAGGGGCCAAAAGAGGCTGCTTGGCTCTGGGTGAAGGCTGCCTTTCTTCATTGGCTAATACCATTGCTGATGCCAGGGCTTGACGTGTGTGTGTGTGTGTGTGTGTGTGTGTGTGTGTGTGTGTGTGTGTGTGTGTGTGTGTGTGTGTGTGTGTGTGTGTGTGTGTGTGTGTCGGAGCAGAGGCGCTGTATGTCACCTGCAAGCTGCAGAACTGCACCGACGCCAATAAGGGCAAACCATTCCCCGGCTACATTGACCCCAATTCTCTGGTGGTGCAAGATGAGTATGTGTTTGTCCAGGTAGGTAATTGTCCAGTTTGCTCAGTAAGAAATATTACAGAAAAGTGTGTGGAGGAGAAAAGATGTTGGGTTTTCTGGGGAATTTGTCAAGGTCATTCTTACAGAGAGATGCTATTAGTTGAGCTATACGTGTGAAAATCCTTTATCTGCTTTATTAATGTCTACAAACTTTTTTGGCTCACCTTAAGGTGTCAACTGGGGGGAGGCCAATCTACTACGTGTCAGCTAAAAGAGATGTCTTCACCCCTATGAAGCTGCCCAAGTATACGCTGCCCAAGGTAAGAAATATACCTCGTTGGCTTCTTTCTTTTTTCTCATTTCTAAAGGGGAAAAAAATAGGCTTTAAACTTTGTTCAATATGAAGGCGAAACTTTCAATAACGCTCCAGATCGTGCCGGCTCCGTGTGGTGCCCTCTCTGTTATTTATGGGCGAATCAAGGGCAAAAGTAGCTCTCGCAGTGTTTCCAGAATTGTTATTCCATGCTGCTCCATGTGCGCGTGGCCTCGCTTGTCACGTCCCCGTTGACAATTAAACATGTTTTATTCAATCAAGCTCTGGGCGCCCAGGTTGCTGCCAGCTCACTGCAAGGTGTTGCTGGCACAGTCAGAGGTAGATGAAGCACACAACTAAACAGCATGGCCTCAGCTGCATAACTCTGCCCAATAAGCCCGACGTAGTCTTAATGATTGCTGTATCCTCTTAGTGGAAATACATGAATACTAAACGTGAAGCGATTCTGATTAATAAATATGATTAAGCCCAGCAGGAGGGTAAGAACAATATGTACACACTAAAAAATTACATTTCTATTAGCATAGAAGAGATCATGTTGCCTAAAAAAAACAAATTAAAGCCTTTACAAATTTCCATTACAAATGACAGTAAATGGATGTTCTTTTAAAGTGTAATTTCAAGCTGATGATGATATTAAGAGCACGCATAAAGAGGGGATGTTGACTTTTATTGGATAAAAGCAATGAACAAAAATATCAATATGCAAAATGCACAGAGGAGTCGGGAGCACACTGAACAGAAGCTTACTGTTGACACGGTGAATAGCAAAGATTGTACTTTGCTATTAAAACAACCATTTGTAAGTCTGTTTGCATCACTATAAGATCATGGCTGTTTCCCATTGTAGTTATATAGTAGAACTGACACAGGGCAATGTGGTACTGCGCCAACAAATTCACCAAATTCACACATTGCTTATAACACCACATAAATAAAGGTGTCGCGGATGAATACAACAAAATAAAATGATACGACCGAGACAGAACCTTTGGTATTTTCTTAATATAATAATAAACCCGAAATTACTGTGTAATTGTGTAACTTTATTAGCAGCATCCTCCTGAAAATGCGCCAACAACATTAAGAGTAACATTCTCCTCTCTGCTCCTTAATGCTTTCTGGTCACTATGGTAACTCGGAGATATTTCTTGCAAAATAAGACGGCGAGTTAACGATACAAACCCTGAAAACCATAAATTTCACAGCCGAGCGTGAACTCAACGACTCGTGGACCGGTACCGGGGACCGCTGCATTACATGGGCAAAAGTCCTGAGCTCTACCTTTTAATCTTTGAATCCAGGTCTGTGCGTTCCCATTGCTACAGGTGTATAAAGTCCAGCATTGACCCACGCAGTCTTCATGCATCGTTCTAAAGATCTCACTGAATTTCAGTGTGAGACTGTAATGGGATGAAATTGTTGCTGCAGGTCGCTTGTAGATTTCCCGCCATCAGCTGTAGGTGCTATTGCTGCAAAGTGCAGCTGTTTAGGAACTACAGCAACTCATCCATGAAGTGCCAGACCTTGTAGGATATAGAGCAGACTCTGTGTGCTGAGCAGTGCTGGTCAAGTTACTTGAAAAAGGTCATTAGTAACAAATTACTGATTACTTCTCCAAAAACATAATCCTGATTACTTATTTTAAAAAGTACTTAGTTACTTGACACACAGCCTGAATACGTAATAAAACAACAGACCTTTCAGCCCAGTTCTATTTTTTCTGCATCCATCATATAAAATGTAATCAAATGAAAAAGTCTCTTTTTAAAACTTGTTTTATTAGTTTTAATCTTTTAACTTTATGCACCTTGCATCAAGCAAAAATTTAAATGTATGTAACTGTCTGTGGTTTGAAGAAATTTATTTGCTATTTAAACCTATTTCCTGCATAATCCATCATATAAAATAAAATCATGATTTGTGTTTGCACTCACTCTTTCAAATAGATGCAAGTAAAACACAGCAAAAATTAAATAAAATCAAAGGTTCAGCAGCACTGAGTCCTGTCGCTCTTAAATCTATTGTCCCCTGTTTAGCAGGGGTGAGGCGGGTGGAGGTTTGCCAACAGTGGTCATGTCAGCGGGGGGATCCGGGGGTTTCTCTGTGAATGTCACATTCCCGTGGCAGCTCGCTCAGATATGAAGTTTCATTTTTCACTGTAGAAAGAAGTTTTCTTCCCACACAGAGTGAACAGCTGATGCTAATGTTTTTGTCCCTTTTTAGGGAGTCAGTACTTCCACGCTTTAAACCCTGCATGGTCGTACTCTCTCCTGTACTCCGTATTATCCATTGTTGATCTGCACACGTCTGTTACCATGAACGCTTAAGTCACTGTCATGAGACACTCGCACAAGCAAAATCACGGTTTAGTAATGCTTACAGGAAAGCAACAGTAACCTAATTGCTTTTTTTGCAAAGTAATACCTTACTTTACTCGTTACTTTAAAAACGTAATCAGATTACAGGAATGCATTACTTGTAACGAAGTTGCAAACGCTCAGTGACTGCAGCGATCCAAACCTCGTCTGGTATTTATATCGGCACAAAAACAGTGTGCCAGCAGCTTCATGCATGGGTTCCCATGTCTGAGGTGTAATGTGTTTCGTCCACATGGTGTATATGTCAATTTGTTATTATTGTCAAGACTTTTTATTGTATGATACAGAACAGCACAAACATAAGTTGTAAAGATAAAAACGCTGGGGTAACAAGGGTCTGTGATATCATTTTACTCCTACCAGGATCTGCATGTGATCAGTACGGATGAAAACCGTGTCGTCGCGGCTGTGAGGGAGTGGAACCAGAATGAAACCTACAACCTGTATGTGTCAGACACTTCAGGGGTCTACTACACTCTGGCTCTGGAGAATGTGGTCAGCAGCATGGGCCCCGAGGGAAACGTCATGGTCGACCTCTACGAGGTAAAAAAAACATTCAATTTCAATTCAATTCAATTCAATTTTATTTATACAGCGCCAAATCACAACAGCAGTCGCCTCAAGGCGCTTCATATTGTACAGTAGATCATACAACAATAGATACAGAGAAAAACCCAACAATCACATGACCCCCTATGAGCAATCACTTTGGCGACAGTGGGAAGGAAAAACTCCCTTTTAACAGGAAGAAACCTCTGACAGAACCAGGCTCAGGGAGGGGCGGGGCCATCTGCTGTGATTGGTTGGGGTGAGAGAAGGAAGACAGGATAAAGACATGCTGTGGAAGAGGGAAAGAGATTAATAACAGATATGATTCATGCAGAGAGGTCTGTTAATACATAGTGAGTGAAAAAAGGTCAGTGAAGAAGAAAAACTCAATGCATCATGGGAATCTCCGGCAGCCTACGTCTATTGCTGCATCACTAAGGGAGGATTCAGGGTCACCTGGTCCAGCCCTAACTATATGCTTTAGCAAAAAGGAAAGTTTGAAGCCTAATCTTGAAAGTAGAGATAGTGTCTGTCTCCTGAATCCAAACTGGAAGCTGGTTCCACAGAAGAGAAGCCTGAAAACTGAAGGCTCTGCCTCCCATTCTACTTTTAAATACTCTACGAACAACAAGTAGGCCTGCAGAGCGAGAGCAAAGTGCTCTAATAGGGTGATATGGTACTACAAGGTCATTAAGATAAGATGGGGCCTGATTATTTAAGACCTTGTATGTGAAGAGCACTGAGGAGGACCACTGATGCTGTATCCACAGGAAAATAAACTGTGTCTGAAGCAGGAACATCGCACAAATGCAGAAACCTCAGCTTTAGTTTTGGAGCCTGCAGTATTCATTTTAGACAATTCTCTGTTTTTAAACAGCAGGCCTGCTCGATGAGGTTTATTACGAACGCTGATCAATACTTTGGAGCTAGCAGGCAGACGTGATGAAATGTACTTACTTTGTCATTTTGCAAAGGAACCCTGCTGCTGTAGGCCTACAATCTTCAGAGCACGTTGTGTGAATATGAAACAGCTTCAAAGTGCTGACATCAACAAAGGCAAAGGGGCATTGTGCCAGCCATATAGATTTTTAGGAGCCTGAGATTATTTCTTCCTTTGATTAATAACTGCAGATCACTTTGCACAACACACCAAATCCAAAAACAGAAGGTGTGCTATGAGCTGGTGTTGAGGCTCTGTGGAACTCACGATGCTTTTAAGTTTAACGTAGAATAGAACTATATCTGTGAATCTAATAATTAAGCCCTTGGTGATGCCGCTCATGTCTGCTGTGGCCTGAGCAATAGAATCGAATCTACTGTCTTGATTGGGGTCGCCACCCGAAACGCATGATGTGCTAAATCTTTCCTCCAAGCGAGATTGAAGTATCTGTCAATTACTAAAGTGGAGTTTCATTGCCTGATGCCACTGTCACAGACTCAATTCAGTATCCCTGAGTCGTCCTGCAGGTCTCCAACAGGGAGTCAGATTCATTTAAGACACACATCGATTATTCACAAGTCTCCAGACAGTCGATCATTTCCCACTCAGGGTTTGTGACTGTGTTTGGTTTTTGTTGGGAATGCAGAAGTAGGCTGCATTTCCTTGAAGTGTCTGATTTGCTTTTGCAATGCGTTGCGATCGTTTTCGGCACAGTGACTTGAAAATAGGAAAGCAATCATATTTATTGGTCAAATAAAGTAAAATTTCACATAAAGCCGTGAACCGTTCTGATTCTCCAGGTAGCGGGAATAAAAGGAATGTTCCTCGCCAACAAAAGGACGGACAACCAAGTGAAGACGTACATCACCTACAACAGAGGCAGAGACTGGAAGTTACTGCAGGCACCGAGCAAAGACCTGAGAGGCAACAGCATTCACTGTGTGCTGGTGAGTTTCTTTGCATCTGCCAGCGAGATGCGTTCATACATGTTTTTATATGTGTGCGCTTCCATCAAAGAGAGGCCTTGACAGGAGTTGACTGATCCCAGCAGCAACGAGAGCCCGAGCTCGGAAAGAGCAGCGCCCGTCAAAGCTGAGTGCTCTGAGGCTGCTCAGCTGAAAGGTCAGCCATTTTGATTCAGTCCAATAAGCTGACCTCCCATTTAAAGAAACACAGAGAGAAAGACTTGTCAGACAGAAAGGCTTTTCTGTATTTTATCTGCCTTCCTTCCTGAGAGCCTCTAGAAAGTTGGAGGCTTCTCATACTCTAGTGGAGTTTTCACTCACTAGTAAAGTTCAGAATTACAAGTAAACAACCTACCCTTGAAAATGGAAACCGCTTATTTCTTGTAGCACATTTTTCTTTTCAATACCTTACCTCTTTGTGTATTTCTCTGTTAAATGAAATGTTGCAAAACCAGTGACTCAAAGAGAAAACCTAGGTAAAGAAAGCACAAAAGTCCTGAGCATTTGTAGAGTTATGTCAATACTCCAGCAACCTTAGACGCTAGAACCACTTCTGCAAGAATCATAGCAAAGCAAGACATTTATACAGAGGCCAAGGATGAAGTCAGTCAGTGGATGGAGTACAGATTGTGTATTCGGTTTTTAAATGATGACATATGAACCCTGCTTTCGGGTCCAAACTACTCTTTGTTTTTAACATGTTTTAATGCTTTGTATCTTGTTCTATTTAATCTGAACAAGAACCTAAAGAAAATCTCAGTTTTTAAACCCTTACGAACTATAACTACAGCCCAGCCCTTGCAGCAGTATATTAATGACTAACCTCATATTGTGGATGGATTATCTCAGTCGTTCTCCTCACTGAAGTTTGGTCCCTTTTATAGCATCCTGCCATGTGATTGCATTTGTCCCTAACCATCGGGAACCCTCACGTTAACTTTTATCGAGTGGAAAAATTAGCTTTCATCCTCCAGCTTCACTGTGCTAATGTGTTTATGTCATGCTAACAAAGCTGTGTAGTTAGCCACCACGTAGCACATCATTATATACCAGCTAGCCCAACTTCAGAAACCCTATAAATGTCACTGCTGTTTAGTTTTCTGTCTTCATTTATGTCAGAAGTGATAGCAGAGCTGTACGTTTTAATTGATCAGAAATCCCTCAGTCAGAACATGTTTCCATCTAAAGATTACATACCTAGCGAGCTAACTTCAAACATTGTTAAACTTCATAAATCCTGTTTTCATGGATGCCTGGATGTTAAACTTTATTGTTACACCTGGTAGAGCAGCAGCGCTGATCATTTTATTAAAGATGGAAGACAGTTTGTAACTCTCAGTGATGCCGCAGTGTTCGTTTGACTTTAGGACCTAAAGCGGAGTTTGGACCCGGAAACGGCTAATGACGTCAAACGTAAAGACCAGATAGGTGCTAAGAAATGCCAAAAGATGTGCCTTGCAGACAACAATGGGGGTGATCAGTTAAGGAGAGGGATATTCGAAAAGCACAAGACTGTGCACAAGTTTGCTCACATTGTTATTTTAACAACATTGTGTTAATTAAGAAGCAACCAAGTGGCAACCTCCAGGGCTGGATGATGCTGGCAGGTCTCATCACTGATAACTGGAGCTGATCACCACTGCACCATGTTTGCGGTTTTGATTGCTTTTAGAAGATTATTAAAATCAAGTGACCTGAGAAAAGTATGACCTACTGTGTGGTACACACCAAATTGTGCTTTAGTTCTGTTGGTGAAATTCTAGTTTTTTATTAGTCTACACTCATTTCCAGCAGCTATCTGTGCCCCTCCAGTGCAGCTGGTCAGTGCAGCATGGTAATCAGACTGCTAAGACTAGCAGATAACTCAATCCTTGGACCAGATCTGATGGTTTCTGGCTCTAAAAGAACCTACGTGGCAGCCGTTGAAATGCTAATTGTGAGGTTTAACAAATGCTTCGTTTAGATGCCATAGGTGCGTCATGGTGAGGAGGAGCTACAGCCATCTGTTATCGTGTCTGTGGCAGCAACAAAATATACAAGTGTCAAAGAACAAGGGTTAGACGCTTCATCAGTACAAGTTTCGGATGAGCACGGCTCACTTTAATCACCTTTTACTAATACATGTCGCTAGATGACAAGAGTTTGACAGTTGGTGTCACTGTAGCACACCTTCACATATGTCCTCTTGAAATGACTGTATGTACAGAAATAATCACCTTTTTTGATAAACCAATTAGCGATTCAGTGGCATGCCTCGCCTTCCACCCATATTATACAGTCATTTGTCAGGAAATGTCAGAGCTTTAATAAACCTCTAAACAGCCCGTCACAACATGGCCTGCACCAGTGGCATTTTGCTGGGTCGTAATGAGAATTGTGCCTGTAAAGGTTAACCCAATCAAAATTAATGGTGAGGCCAGTCAATGGGGAAATGGTGTTTGTGATAAAACATAAGACTTGGGAGGGTTGCCGATCCACATTGAGGCAATAGCAGTTTTGCGCAGAAGCATCTTTTGGAGGTTTTTTTTAATAACTGAGTTTTTGATTTCTCTCTGTAGCCGTACTGTTCACTACATCTCCATCTTCACGTGTCTGCAAATCCCTACACATCTGGAAACATAGCCAGCAGGGACTCGGCGCCGGGGATCATTGTCGCATCAGGTGGGTGAGAGGGAATATGTTTCGAGTGGCACGTCGTCTACATTCTCCGTGTCTTCTTGGACTTCTGAGGAGTTTTCTTTAAGACAAAGCTCATGTTTTTATCTGTCGTTAAATTATTTAATAAAAGAAGGACTTTTAGCCCTTGACTGAAAGGTTAAAACATCTAACCAGTGCTCACTGTTGTTGATTTGCCAGGGTTGTAGAAGGAAAGTCGAACAATATGTGCATTATTCAGTTAATAAAGTAAGGTATTCTATGGTTTGCTTAGATTTTAGTATACAGCAAAGGTAACATGAAAGAGCCTCCAAACTGCAGAGACATTAGTGATTAAAAATGCTTCTCCTTTACTGTTTTTCTTCTTTCTTCTGTGTTAACTTTAAGATATCTGTCTGTTTCTCTTAGTTATTAATCATTTCTGTCCATTTTCCATGACTTGTTCTTCTTTGCAGTTGCACTGTAGTGTTTGTTGCATTTAGCATCGGTATATCACTCCCGCAAGCATGTGACATGCTGGCATCAGCTCACCTTAAAACGCAAACAGATACAGTGGGGCAAAAAAGTATTTAGTCAGCCACCGATTGTGCAAGTTCCCCCACCTAAAATGATGACAGAGGTCAGTAATTTGCACCAGAGGTACACTTCAACTGTGAGAGACAGAATGTGAAAGAAAAATCCATGAACCCACATGGTAGGATTTGTAAAGAATTTATTCGTAAATCAGGGTGGAAAATAAGTATTTGGTCAATAACAAAAATACAACTCAATACTTTGTAACATAACCTTTGTTGGCAATAACAGAGGTCAAACGTTTACTATAGGTCTTTACCAGGTTTGCACACACAGTAGCTGGTATTTTGGCCCATTCCTCCATGCAGATCTTCTCGAGAGCAGTGATGTTTTGGGGCTGTCGCCGAGCAACACGGACTTTCAACTCCCGCCACAGATTTTCTATGGGGTTGAGGTCTGGAGACTGGCTAGGCCACTCCAGGACTTTCAAATGCTTCTTACGGAGCCACTCCTTTGTTGCCCGGGCGGTGTGTTTTGGATCATTGTCATGTTGGAAGACCCAGCCTCGTTTCATCTTCAAAGTTCTCACTGATGGAAGGAGGTTTTGGCTCAAAATCTCACGATACATGGCCCCATTCATTCTGTCCTTAACACGGATCAGTCGTCCTGTCCCCTTGGCAGAAAAACAGCCCCATAGCATGATGTTTCCACCCCCATGCTTCACAGTAGGTATGGTGTTCTTGGGATGCAACTCAGTATTCTTCTTCCTCCAAACACGACGAGTTGAGTTTATACCAAAAAGTTCTACTTTGGTTTCATCTGACCACATGACATTCTCCCAATCCTCTGCTGTATCATCCATGTGCTCTCTGGCAAACTTCAGACGGGCCTGGACATGCACTGGCTTCAGCAGGAACACGTCTGGCACTGCGGGATTTGATTCCCTGCCGTTGTAGTGTGTTACTGATGGTGACCTTTGTTACTTTGGTCCCAGCTCTCTGCAGGTCATTCACCAGGTCCCCCCGTGTGGTTCTGGGATCTTTGCTCACCGTTCTCATGATCATTTTGACCCCACGGGATGAGATCTTGCGTGGAGCCCCAGATCGAGGGAGATTATCAGTGGTCTTGTATGTCTTCCATTTTCTGATGATTGCTCCCACAGTTGATTTTTTCACACCAAGCTGCTTGCCTATTGTAGATTCACTCTTCCCAGTCTGGTGCAGGTCTACAATACTTTTCCTGGTGTCCTTCGAAAGCTCTTTGGTCTTGGCCATGGCGGAGTTTGGAGTCTGACTGTTTGAGGCTGTGGACAGGTGTCTTTTATACAGATGATGAGTTCAAACAGGTGCCATTCATACAGGTAACGAGTGGGGGACAGAAAAGCTTCTTACAGAAGACGTTACAGGTCTGTGAGAGCCAGAGATTTTCCTTGTTTGAGGTGACCAAATACTTATTTTCCACCCTGATTTACGAATAAATTCTTTACAAATCCTACCATGTGGATTCATGGATTTTTTTTTCACATTCTGTCTCTCACAGTTGAAGTGTACCTCTGGTGCAAATTACTGACCTCTGTCATCATTTTAAGTGGGGGAACTTGCACAATCGGTGGCTGACTAAATACTTTTTTGCCCCACTGTAACTTGACAACAGAAAAACCCCTCAGAGCAGCATTGTTCCTGAGAACACGTGAAAAATAGGAAAGGACTCTAATTGATTCACCGTGAAGACAAAAATAAGGTAATGTGACATCAGCAGCCCCCAGGTGGATTCACATCTGTGATATTTACTCCCGTGTGGACCGGCTCTGTCAATAACATGCAGGCACCGGCCTTGGGTGTCTGGAGAAGGCCAAGTTTACCCTACCAGCATGAATGCCATGACCTTTATGAACCACTGTGGGATAAGTCGGTTTCACTGATTTGGGAGTAAAACAATTAACTTATTTATTTCAGTCTATGTCATTATTTCAGCTACAGAATGGTGAAAATGAATGAGAATGATTACTTATTTCTTCTTCGCTTATTTCTTCTTTTCTGTCCCAGACCATCATTTGGAAGTTATTTGGGGATTAAAAATATTGGGAAATAGTCCTAAAACAGTAAAACTTATTCAAAGTCCTGGGTTCTGAATGATTATCTCAGTTTTACTTTTTTCTGCCTTAGTAAAAAAGGTGGCAGATGACATGGGAGACATCGCGGCATTGTGTAAAAATCCCATTTTACAGAGTTATGAGGAAAGGTTAGCTTTAAGGTAGGGTCATCAAGTCCATGAGCTGAAAGACACATTAAAAGCTAAAATGATCTATTGATACTGAGTCTATTCATACACTTGTGATTAATTAATGTTATGTTATGAACATTAGCCCATTCACAATGTGACATGGGATGGGCTTTTAAACATTCCAATAGTTTTGTGGTCTTGTTCATCCGTGGGGGAAGAGAGGAGCGGGAGGTTGACAGATGGATTAGTACTGATGCGATCAATCACTGGTCCAGTCTCTGTGGTTAAAAGCATAAAGGCAAAGCTGTCGATTTATTGGTCAGCTCCTATCCTCGTGTTTGACCACAAGCTGTGGGTCATGACTGATTGAGGATAGTATCAACAGGACAGCTTCCTCTGTAGGGGGCCCAGACTCAACCATAAAGAGGGTGAAGAGCTCATACGGGAGGGGAGCAGGGGAAAGCCACTACCATAGGTTTAGGTCAGATTTTCTGTCTGGTAGGAAACTCCAAGGGCAGAACCAGGACATGCTGATGAGATTCTGACATGCTTGGGAATGTCTCTGAGCTGAAAGCTGGGATGAGACTGGATATTTCTGCTTAAATATCCAGTCTCATAAATATACTCTCTAAGTGTATGTATATACACTTAGACAGTATTATAGCAAAATAGCCTTTATAGTAGTGAGACCGAACATTGAGCTCACTGTAGGATAAGGGATCAACATTTAATCGGCCTTTATTTAGCTGAGATTGCTATTACAAGTTCATTTATTGGTCAGTAGCAGGAAACTGGACTATAATCCACATGGTCACTGTTGTTTGGAGTCCTGTGGAATTTGTAGGCAGTAGTCTACAGTACTTTCGCAAGACTCTATGCTCATAAGTTGTGCAATGTGAGGGCTAGGAGATCTAGTAGATCTTTATTTTCTATGTCTGGGTGACAGTGCAGTTTGTGACACATTAAAACAGAACTGTTAGGTAGAAAAAATGAGACCTTTATAATAATAGCATCCCAAGATTTCATCTCAACTCTAAATTGTTCATTGCAGCATTTGTTGCTTGTCTTTTGAAGTCAAAATGAAAGTAAATCTGTTATTTCGACCGCCCGTAGTGCCATATGGGACCCCAAACTGGAGACTTTATAACTTTCAAAGACAGGAAGCAGAACAGTGATGAAAGCAAACGTGTATTTTAGAATATTAATTGGTTACCAACGACGTCTTTCAGACATCTGCTGAGTTCTCCCTAATCTTATGTTTTTAATTAAACCCAACCCTGAACCACTGTCAAGGTGGAAGACTCGAGGAAATCATTATCAATCACTCAAAGAAGAAAGAATCATGAAGCACAAGACGAAATGAGGCTAGAGGAGATGCTAAACATTAGCACGTATACAATTATAGTTCTGTGAATTATAAGTGTATTACACTGTTAGTGCATGATACAGATGCACTGTATCCACAGCACACCTGTACATCACACCAGCATGGTGACAACATCAACTGGAGCTCAGCAGAAATCTAAACATTCAGCACTCGTGTAGCTTGTATGTTATGATGAGTGTGAAGCCTATTGTTTTTCAAGAGGCATTCAGAGTAGGGGACAACTGGAAAAACCACCACCTGGCACCAATTACGGGCTAAATTAAAGCAATTACAGCCGTCTGCACAGAATTAGGGAAGCTTGTCTTAATGTGGTCAGAACTGCTGAATGAGGGATACAGTAATCTGGATTTATTGGTTAATTTAGGGGTATGGGCAAATGTTGCACTGCACAATAGATCTTTCAGAGGACTGTAATTACAGCAACTGTCTGCAGCTGCAAGCTGGTGCCTCCTGCTGTAGAACCACCTCTTGTCTGAACACAATGTGTAAAAGTCGTGTTGTATTTTGTCAGAAATTAATTTCCTTTTTGTGCATCAAACTGTCTCTCCACCTCAAAGCACTTGATCAAGTTTGTTTTCTATCCTTTCTGTGAACTGGCCTCACGTCCAGGCTCCATTGGGGCAGAACTGACCACGAGCAATGTCAGTGTGTTCATCACCTCGGACGCAGGAAACACGTGGAGACAGGTGAGGCAACTTTGTTTTTGGACCGTTGTGATGTCTCGCTGGTAAACTAATTCTGCATATGTGTCACATTTGAGGAAAAAGTATCTAAGCTCTAAGTCTTCACATGGCAACAGCTGACTGACATTTAACAGTTGGTATGAACCACGCTGTCAACTTCTGCAGTCTCCTACTGACTGAGAACATTACTTTCTTTTCCAGCTGATCACAAGTGACCAGACTGTTAAACAGAACGAGTCCTCTCACGCTTTAGCTCCGTGTTTTAGTTTAACACCACTTTATATAAAGTTTAGAGATAGTTTGGTTGTATGGAATATTCAAGTTTTTAATCTTGTTATTCCATCATTGCAGACTAGAGGATAACCATCCCTCTGAAAAAAGGAGTAAAGGAGTTCATAAAAATATTCATAAATTCATTAAAATTATTTTAAATGTTTTTCTGTTAGCATATACTTTTATATAAAAGATGTATGAACCCTAAGCATGAATTGACTCCTGAGCTCATATTTTATACCCATACTGAACCCAAGAACATCAAGACAATGATGCAGATTATGAAGAAACGAAACAAAACAGTAAAAAGTCCTTTAAAAATGTCAAAATCTTGAAATTGACTTTAAAAGTTTATCAAACAAATAATCAAATACCTCATCAGAAAAGGTAAGAGCCAGGAAACCCCTTAAATTTTCATCCACATATAAATAAGACCAATTAAAAAATCAACATCATTGTTCAGAAACAAACTCATCCCCACGGCTTCTATTCGGGCGCCACAACGTTCTAATCAGATCAGTTGTTCTTGTTTCCAAGCACAAACAAATTTTAATTTAAGAGTCACAAAGTTTGCCAAGTCACTGCTGTTGGCGAAGATCAACTTCCTGCAATTACACAATCATGCAGTGCAGCAAATATGTTATATTTATTAATATTACAGCCTCATGTCTGATAATTAATTTTTCCAACGATGTGCCCCGTTAAATCTTGAACAAACAGCCGCTCGCCATATGGAGCACAATGAACCGACTGACCTCCTGTCCTCTCGCTGAAAACATCCTCCTCCTCGCTCGTTGCCTATCCTCAAGTTTAGAATATAAGTCCTCAGACAACAGCCAGATTTTTTTAAGGTCACCAATCATATTACTTCTAAAGACCGGCTGAATTCATTGGCTGCATAAACCGCACATTAGACGGCCTCTACATCACTAGATTCACTTCAGTTTATGAGGCTTGTTTCTAATTAAACACAGCAATGAAAAATAATTATTTGGAAGGTAATGTAGCAAAGCAGGGCCATGATTTGCATGTATGAGTGTGTCTGTTGTGAAAAATGACAGGGTGGGTGTGTGCAAATGTGTATACAAGTAAGAGTACATCAAGCGTTTTTGTCCCAGCAGATTTTTGATGAGGAGTATGCAGTGCTGTATCTTGACCAAGGAGGGGCTTTGGTGGCAATAAGACATACTCCGCTTCCCATCCGACACCTGTGGTGAGTCATTATGACAGAGACGCCATTTGTCACAGCATGACTAATTTTCTCTGAGGAAACTGCAAGTCCTAAGTTAGTCAAGTAAAGGCAAACGAGTTTGTCTTGGAACGAAGGGAGGGTACGACTCTGTTTAGAAAACCTTGGATGATTGTCATTCGGCTTTCTGGGTTTGAGACTGTAATGACTTTTGCTCTCACTGATCAGCGTTCTCCGAGCGGAGAACCTTCAGCCCTGCGCGGAATATAAAATAAAGTCGTTAGACAACTCTCAGGGTCATTAGTGTGCGCACACAGTTGAGGGATTAGCAGCGGCCCCTTGTGAAGCAGCTGTTTGTGTTCCCAGGTTGAGCTTCGACGAAGGACGGCAGTGGAACAAATACAGCTTCACCAACACGCCCTTGTTTGTGGACGGGGTGCTCGGAGAGCCCGGAGAGGAGACTCTCATCATGACGTGAGTAGAAAAAAAACAGAGGAACAGCAAATTGCTGGTGTCTTTAAATGCGCGCTCTCTCGCGTCGTGACCCGAGCCTGTGCCGTTTCCATCTATAGCTCTGCTCTATTCAGGATTCCTGACTGTGCGTTTTCCTTTTCATGAATAAAAAGGTTTCTGTCAAGGTCTAGCCAACATCAAAACTGGCTGTCTGCTGATTATGATCACAGGAGATCAATGCTTCAGCGACAACCTGACTGCCCATTTGAAGAGCATGAAGAAGAGTGATCAAAATGATCAAAAAATGCCTGAGAAAACAGACGAGAAACTTTATTTCTTTATAAAGTTTTAACTGCATTAGAAAGTGGAGAGAGGCATGGGGATGATTTAGCGTGCCCTCAGAAATCAGATTTATGAAGATTCCTTCTGTGTTCTTTCAAATTTATTATTAGAACAGCCCAGAGCAGAAGTGCGTGCATATGCTATGACGCAGCACTGCTCCCTTATTGGAGCAGAGATTTAGGACTTTGGGACGTGTTACCACAGCCATTACATCAATGTTTCATGATACCTGCCATAAATGACAGACTGACAGCTGGCTGTGGAGTCGGCCTTACAGGAGAGTGATAGGGCACAGCTGGAGAGAGAAAAAGGAAAATGCAGCTCTTCTTTTGGTGGGACTCGAGGGTGGGGAGCTAAAGGCGATGCTGGTAGAACAAGTTCTCGAATGCAGAGCCTCTGAGCTGGCAGACACACCATTAGTTTTCATAAGACCATCATGCACTGTTTTCTTATCAATTTGTACTCATTTTTACAGTAAGTGCCTGTCATGGCTGGGTGCCTCAGAAGCTAATTGACAGATTGATTGTGATAAATATGCTGTGGTATGAATGGTGAGGAGGGGTCAGTGCAAAGACACGCAGCCACTCAATTTAGCTAGAGATGGAATATTTATCCACTTAGTCTCATAACCTTGGATTGTGTTTTGTTCCTGACCAGTACATAAAAAAAATATGGCTTTTCGTTCTGATTAAGTTAAACTTTAAAAGAAAAGGTTTTTAGTAACAGCATAACGCTGGAAATTATATACTGTGGATTTCGTTTTTAGATTGGGAACATTTCAAGTGTTAGTCACTGTTAACGAATCGCATGTAAAGACTAAAGCCTTCCAGCAGAACAATTTATTGCACAATATGTCTTATTTTCCATGTTTCATTTCAGTCTGTGCTGACACCATAAAATAAAACCAACAAACCCTTTATTGGATAGGGAAGCTGTGTGGAGGTGACAAAGTAAGCTGAGGTTGAACTTTCTGTTGGCTCTCTGTAGTCGCTGCACAACTATTTCTGTCACGTGTGCTTTGAATGAAAAGTTGGATGCCTTCTCGAGTCTAATGTGTTTTCCAATTTCCCAGCTCCCTACTAGAATCCAGCAACTGGTGGTCACTTGCTGCAAGACAGAGCCATGCAACAGCGACTCTTTTTGTTTTAACTTCCATGTCTCTGGCAGTATGTCTAGGGTTAGGGTTGTGAGTGTAGGCCGGGTTTGGGTTTGGTTAATGTGCTCTCCTTTACATAGATTTTTCACCTCTTTGCACTACTTACATCGAAACACTTTTAACAGTAAAACTGTACCTACAAAATGAATGAGAGTTCACTTGAAATCCAGCATTTAGTCCCTGAAATCTTTTTAGCATGTTGCGAAAGCCTAAGCCCTAAGCCTAGACAAATCACTGGTGACTGGATGGATTTCAAGAGTGACTTCAGTCATGCTATCAAGTGATCAAGTAAATAATAAGCAGTTGTGCTTTACAAGATACCGAGCTGAATTCTGGCTCAAACCTCCTGTAGCCTCTCTTTCTGGTGCTCTGCTTTCCTTCCACAGTCCAAAGATATGCTCTCATCTGTGATGGATGAGGAGCCAGCCCAGGGTGTACCCTACGTTTCGCCCTACACCTGCGGGGATAGGCTCCAGCATCCCGATGATGCTTACTTGGATAAGTGGTTAACAAAGTGGATCATTGGATGGATGAATAAGGTTTCAAAGAGGCAGACTGCTAGATTAGTAAATTAAAAATACAATGGAGGATAAAAAGTGCCTTTCTGTTACCTGTTGGTTCTTCCAATGATGGATCGCAGGCGGCAGATCTTGTGTGTTTTAAGTGAGGAGCCAAATGCACACAACGCAGGCGGGACTGATCTTAACAAAAGTGCAGATTTATTCGGACTAATGGCAAAACAGACAAAACAAAAGGCAAAAGGCAAAGTCAGAGTTGAGATAAACTGAACTGGGAGAGCTAACCTAAACACTAAACTTGGACACAGGGAACGTGGCTGGTGACACGAGGAACCTAGACATGGAGACCTGGAACATGATAAGAACAGACAACCCGGCAATGACCACATATTATAAACACACGAGGGTGACGAGGGAAGTGGAAACGCTGGGGAACACAGCTGGGACGAATAGACATAATGACACAGGAGGAAGGAAAACTGAACACAGAATGCAAGACTGTCAAAATAAAACAGGAAACAGACTAAGATGCACAGCTCAACACTGGGCCCGGGGAGAGAAACAGACTTAGAAATAGAAACGGGAGACCAAACACAAAGACATGACGAGGACTTGGGGAATTAGAGAGAGAGAGACACAGAGAGGAGAGAGGGAGGGACGAGGGAGACATGGCAGGGTGGGGAACATGAGAGCAGAAAAGGGAGAAGAGACATAACAACAAGGCTAAGACCCAGAGATCCCAAGAGAGAGGGACACAAGGACACAAAGAGAACCTAATAGACAACTATAGACTTCAAAGACAAGAAAAACTCAAAACATAGAAAGAACTAAACTGAAGGCTAAACTGTAAACATTGAACTTAAACCCTCTTTATAATGTGAGAGTCACAAACACACTATAATCTCAAAAGAGCCAGTGCCCTGACACAAACCTGTAAATCTTATATATCCATGCTTGCAGCAGTTTTCTTGCACGGATCATCTGTTGAAGCATTTGTCTCTTTCACTCACAGTCTTTATCAGCTGTTTAGTATTTCACTTTTAAAGGCTCTCTGTAATTTCCTAAAACAGCTGTCCACTGCTGGTAGTATCAAATGCTAGCTAATGAAGTTGTTTATTTCTGGTTGCATTTTCAGTTTGATGCTCTGAAGTGTATTTGGGGCATCCGAAAGCTGAACGCGCAGGATCAGCGTTAATAGACCTCCGTGCTTCCTTTCACGATAACGATGGCTCACGACATTCAGCGCAACAATGAGCCTCACAGATGTGTTTTTAATCATGTGTGGTCAAAAAAACATCAGCTCTGTGGCCTAGATGATAAGATTCATCAGACAGTGCTTATTAGCAGGATGAATTCACTCCCGGCTTTGATCTTCGTGTGGGATTTGCTCACCAGACTTTTCCTTTAACATCGTTTTAGTTCGATCATTATCCAAATCGTGTTTTGTATTTAACGAGTGCAGCGTGTGTGTCTGCTTTCTTTTTTCAGGATATTTGGACATGTCAGTCATCGATCGGAGTGGCAACTGGTGAAAATAGACTTCAGGTCCATTTTCAACAGGAGGTGTATAGAGGCAGATTATCAGACATGGCACCTGCACAACCAGGTACAGCATTTAATCAGATCAGGATAGAGTTTTGATTCTTTTTACACCCTGTACAAAATGTTTTAGAGCCTTTAATTATATTTCAAAACTATTTTTAATTAAATAACATTTCAAAGAGGCAGACTATTAAAATGATTTTTAATTTAAAAAGTATACTAATGAGCTGCTTCAGTAAAACACATCATTATGAAACCAGGTCTAAGTACCCTAGCTATACGAACCCCAAGTGCAATGTTTAGCAGAAAAACTAAATAACTTTGAATTATAGACAGTTTCCCCTTTGACTGCATGTCTTGAAAAGCCAAAATTCCAATATTCTGAAATGTTAGGGTTAGAGCTTTCAAATTAGGATTAGGAATCATGGAATAAAATGGTAGTAAGTAAAAGGCAGGACTTAAAGGAATTAAACTTGTTACTTAATGAACTATTATTTCCTAATGAGAAGTAAATTCATTGAAGGAATTCTGAAGTCTGTGGAGACCATCTCCTCCAAACACAAGTTCTTAAGTTTGGTTGATTCAGAGCCCCTCGCTGTACGCTTTCAGCTTTGCTGTGTTGTGAAGCTGGAGACCTCCCAGCGCAGAATCCTTACGATTCCTCCCTCATGCTTTAAGTGAACCTCCCAGCATACGTTAAACCTGCTCCGAAAGCTCCTCAGCCTGGTCGGGCCTGAAGCAGAGCCAGACGTTTAAAGCTTGCCTTTATTCATGGCCCACTTCTGTAATTGGTTTAGACACCCATATGCTCAAAGCAGGCTAATGATCAAAACATATAGCATGGAAGATGACAAGAGTCCAAGCCAATTACAGGGCTAAACTGCCCAAATGTAGTGTGGGTATAAAAAATAAACACCACCTGGAAACAGAGGTTTTGTGTTTAAGTTAGGGAAGGAGCTGGCAGTTGTATTTGTGGATGCTGGCAAGAATGTTTTTAGCCATCTCACTAGTGACACCTAATGCACAAAGACAGAATGTTGTGGTAATAAAAAGAGAGCAGCAGTGTAGGATGAAGGATGCAGTGGAAACAGGCTGCTGATATCTTCACATCTTTTTGTACTCGACTGATTTTATATTCACTTCCCACACATAGACACGTGGCTAAAAATGGATTAGGTTCTGGCAGCGTTTGCAGCTGAAACTCCTTCACAGTCGTTCATCTCAATATCACAAAAAAATCCCTTAAAAAAGAACTCAAGCAGCACATTCGACAGTGTGACGCTTGCAACGGAGGAACAGTTGCTGAGCTGAGCACGCCACACGCCACGAGCCCGTAAATATGCGCTGAACAAGAACGGTGTTCTTTGCACACATGGCTGATTGTATCCTGTAAGTTATTTATTGTGGATACGGAGTTACAAAATCACTTCAGTTTCAAACTCTGTTTCTTTCCGCTTGGCTTTGTTTTTGGACCCTGCAGGGTGAGCCGTGTCTGATGGGAGTCAAAAGAATCTACCGAAAGCTGAAGCCCACATCCAGGTGCGTTATGGGAAAGACATACTCAGTGACCATGACATCGGCACCATGCGACTGCACAGAGGCTGACTTTGAATGGTCAGTATTTAATTTTCATTCAGTCCACTTTGTATGTGCTAACACTTTACAATCCCCACTTTTAAACTGTGCATTAATAATTCATCAGATTTGAATAAGTATAATCTGGGACTACTGGGCTCTGGTGGCTCCCTGGGAGCTGGAGAACTGTGCCTGGGTCTCTGCCTCAGTTGGTGGTGGTGGGGGACTGGGGTTGGTCTCTCTAACGGTCTTGGGGTGTGGGGCGCTTGTGGTGGCGGGTTGGCCTCTTCTGGGTGGGTCCGGCTACAGGGCCTGGGGCCCTGGTTCCCGGGGTCTCTGGCTAAGACCCTTCTTGCGTGGGGTTGGTCTGCGCCCCCTTGGGTGGGGTGGGCTTTCTCAGGTGAGGAAGCATACATTGCTGAGTGCAGCTTGTCCCAGACCCAGACCAGGGTGTCTTGTCCTTTTCCTGTGTGTGTCCCAAGACTCATCTGAACACTCCGGTCTACTGTCTTGGGTGGAGGCCCCGGACTGGGTGGTGTCATTGCAGACCCTACACCCCCCCGTGGCTGGGTGTGGGAGATGGGGGTGCCTACTGAGCCAGTTATTTCCTGGCTCTCTCCTTACACACCCACACCCACACACACTCTCCCTCATACAGCACATGCATGCGTAGGGTCACAGTGGGTAGAGCCATTCACGTGGCTGTGTCGGTGCTACCTGTGAGTTTTTGAGTGTCTGTGTTCCAGGTGTTGTATGTTTGTTCTCTTACAGGTGCGGTAGTTGGCGATACATTGTGTATTTCTTTTTGTACTCTGTTCTTTTATTATGTCTTCCCCAATCCTCTATTTTTCTCTCCCTGTCCTGCCTTAGACATTGTCATACTGTATACCACATATAATAGAATAACTGAAATAACAGGAATATAAATGAAGATGTAAACAGAAACACCCTAAACAAGAGGAGCCTGTAGAGAATTTATAGAGCTGCTCTTGGAAAAGCAAAATGTGTTTGGCACACAGTGCATTCAGATCATAATTCTGATTGTAAAAGCTGCCAGAGAGATCAGGACTTGAACAAGAAAAAGAAAAACACAGCTGGAGTAAACACTCGACACCGTCAGAGTGTTTGGATTCTCTGTGTTTTTGCTGGGTTTTTTGTTTTTGCTAAGAAGTCTGACTCCTGTGAGCCCTTTTCGGTGTGTGTGTGTGTGTGTGTGTGTGTGTGTGTGTGTGTGTGTGTGTGTGTGTGTGTGTGTGTGTGTGTGTGTGTGTGTGTGTGTGTGTGTGTGTGCACTAGAAAGCCTGCAATATTAAACCAAAGTTGCTGGAACTCTTAACACTTTACCATCCACTTTGTTATTGCCTTTGACCTTGAACAATCCTGTAAATAAACCTGTTAAACCTTAAAAAAAAAAAAAAGACCTCAAAGCAAACTGTGCTTGTTGAGCATGTGGCCAAAATGTAGCCTAACCCGAACTGACATCTGGTGGATGTTAACAGGTTATGAATTTTACTGTGAACACACAATGATAATTCATTATTGTTAATAATCATTAGCAGTACCAGGATTCATCATATTCATTAGTTTATCTATTCTTAGATTGTATTTATGAATTTTACATTTTGTCATAGCTGATAAAACATGCTGATAGTATTTTAAAAATATTACATGTTATATGATTTACTGTGTATTTGGTAATGATGTTTTGTACCCAGTGCTTTAGATGTAGCTTTAAATATAATTTTAATGTTGCAGTGAGGTATTTTTAACCTAAACCATAATGTTCCTGTAACCACATCTAGCCTGTAGTGCAAAAAAATATTGCATTTAATCTTATTGAAGAATATGAATTCTTTACAAAAGACTTTCCAGTAATTATACTAAAGGTTTATTGGAGATTCTGAAAAACTAGTTCATGCATTTATTACTTCCAGGCTGGACGACTGTAATTCATTATTATCAGGCTGTTCTAGAAACTCCCTGAAAAGCCTTCAGTCCTGACAGGGACTAGAACGAGAGAGCAGATTTCTCCTGTATTGGCTTCCCTTCATTGGCTCCCTGTTAAATCCAGAATTGAATCCTCACATACAAGATCTTGAATAATCAGGCCCCATCTTATCTTAAAGACCTTATAGTTCATGTACAATATCACTTGTTGTTCCTAGAGTATTTAAAAGTAGAATGGGAGGTAGAGCCTTCAGTTTTCAGGCCCCTCTTCTGTGGAACCAGCTTCCAGTTTGGATTCAGGAGACAGACACTATCTCTACTTTCAAGATCAGGCTTCAAACTTTTCTTTTTGCTAAAGCATATAGTTACTCTGCAATATCGGGTTATATATAATAATATAATATTGGGTTAACATAGGCTGCTGCAAGCTTCCCAAGATGCATTGCATCTTTCTTGCTCACCTTTTCACTCACTATGTGTTTATACACCACGCTGCATTTAATTATTAGTTTTTATTGATCTCTGGCTCTTTTCTATACTGTGTTTTCTGTCTTCCTTCACTCACCCCCAACCAGCCACAGCAGATGTGTTGTCTAAATATTGCTGCTAAACGCAAACCTCACCAAAATATCTTATACTTGTTGTTAGGAATGTTTACATCACAGTTGCCTGGGCTTGGCAAACTTAACACAAAGCCACCGTAATTTCTGTAAGGTGGTACGGCAGAGCGGGTCTAAGGAGCTCGGAGAGAAAAGCGTCTGGACTTCTTTAAGTTTCCTTGAAGACGTTTCATCCGAGAAGCTTCTTCAGTTCTAGGATTTTAAGGCCTATGGGAGCGTCCCCCAGGAGGGTTGTGGACCCCTTATTGATCCTCTGCTTAATCACACGAGCCAAGGTGTGAAAACAGGTGTGGGTCAAAATCAAGGTTTCGGGTGGAACCACTGTGACACCTGGCCACACCCTATCATGTGATTTACTGAGGTCAAATGGCCCAGGATATGAGTGGGTGTTAAGGTGTCTGGGAAGGATTCTAGATGACAGACAGTTGGTGTGGTAAGCCCCGCCCTCTGTTCAAAGATGGCTGTTCACATGTAACATGAAGTGTTTGTAATGCCTGTCATTACAGGGACCTTTGAAGTACATTAAAATATATCTGAAATAAATGACCCCTGTCAAGGTCAATTACTGAGTGACCCAGCAATACAATTTACCAGCAAATGGTAGAATAATCTACTTTATTACAGTTATTGGATTTCAGCCATTCACCCTCCATTGGTTGGGGGTGATGGGAAAGAGAAGAGAGCAGACAGAGCCACAGTTTGATAAATGTAAAACTGAGTGTGTTTCATTTTTCTCTTATTGCTTCTTCCCTCCACAGATGGAAGTAAAAACTAGCCAGAGCTTTAAGTTCAGGAATGACACTGTGTCCCCCTCATAGTATTACACACTATTAGTGCACCCATCAGCCCCGTCCCATTTTTCATTGTATGGTGTTTCAGTTCAACTCAGCTTTATTTATAAAGCGCCAAATCACAACAACAGTCGCCTCAAGTAGGGCTGGGCCATATTATACCGTTCACGGTAATACCGGTATAATGTTAGGCAACGATAGGAAAATGAAATATCGCGATAGAATGGGAGTAAAACGCGCATGCGCAGTGCCTTTGTTTTCATACGCACATGGCCGATTGTTGAGTGAAACAGATGAACCAGAATTGGTTTGTAAAAATGGTGCAACTTCCGTGATGTGGAACTGGTTTGGTGTTTGTCCGTCAGATACACGACAAAGCACATTTTTTTGCAGAACATGCAAGCGGCCGTTGTTATTGTCATATTTGTCGGACTAAGATGCTCTTAAATCTGGGAGTAATCTGGGTCCTAAACTCCGTATTTTTCAGGTCAAACAACACTGCAGCATCACTTAGAGTTAAAAACTGTCTAAATTCTTTCATCTTTAATAAAACGATCAGCATTGCTGCTTTACCAGGTGTAACTATGAAGTTTAACTTCCAGGCATCCATGAAAACTAAAGTTATTACATTTAACGGAGTTAGAAGTTAGCAGGAAGCTAGCGGAAGTTAGCTCGCTAGTTTCGCTAGTTACCTAAGCATGATATAGCATGTTCTGACTGAGATTTCTGAAAAAAATCAAACGTACAGCTCTGCTATCACTTCCAACATAAATGAAGACAGGAAACTAAACAGCAGTGACGTTTGTAGGGTTACTGAAGTTGGGCTAGCTGGTATATATTGATGTGCTACGTGATCGCTAGTGACACAGCTATGTTAGCATAACATAAACAGTGAAGCTGGAGGACGAACACTAACACTTTTCCACTTATAAAAGTTAACGTGAAGGTTCTTCATGGTTAGAGACAAATGCAATCGCATGGCAGGATGCTGTAAACGGACCAAACTTCAGTCAGGAGAACAACTGAGATAATCCATCCACAATATGAGGTTAGTCATTAATATACTGCAACAACATGGGAATAGAACAGCTGCCAGAGAATTCAACATTAATGAATCAATGGTACAGAAGTGGAGGAAGCAAGAAGAATGAGTTGAATAAAGTTTGATTTATCTGACTGCTTTGTTTCGCTTAATGTGCCTTATAATCCCGTGCACCTTATGGTCCGAAAAATACATACTGCACACTGCAGTTTAATGTTGCAAAGCACCTATTTTTAACTTCAGTGGATATTATACATGGTTATGCTCAGGATATGTCAGCCCATTTCTACTGGAAATGCCTTTTGGTTAAACTTTCAGCAAGGAATTTGCATTTGCACTGTTACATTTTTATAAAGCTTTAATGTACATAAAAACCAGCTTCTTGTTTAAGTGAAAATAAATGGAAGGTTGTCTTTTTGCGCTAGTAATGTTGTGGAGTTGTATTTTGTCTCGCATCAATTATATCGTCGGTTATATCGTTATCGCAAATTTTCAAATATATATCGTGATAAATATTTTTGGCCATATCGCCCTGCTCTAGCCTCAAGGCGCTTTATATTGTAAGGTAGATCCTACAATAATAGATACAGGAAAACCCAACAATCACATGACCCCCTATGAGCAAGCACTTTGGCGACAGTGGGAAGGAAAATCTCCCTTTTAACAGGAAGAAACCTCCAGCAGAACCAGGCTCAGGGAGGGGCGGGGATGTTTGTAGTGTCAGTATGATTCCCTCCAGTTAATACACAACACCACGGTTCTTCATTCACAGATGGATTTATTCTTCCGTCACACTTCTCCTCCAAACCACCATAAAATTCACCGTCAAACTGTCATTACATAAAAGTACAGAATGACCAAACATAAAAATTACAAATAAACATTAAACCCAAGTTAACAAATGCGCGATACACAAACACAGTTAACATACCTCGCTGGCTGCAAGTAACTGAGGGAATGAGTCCGCTTCAGGAACAAAAACTTAACGAAAATAATTCCCAATTTCTTCTTCTTTACAGCTTTCTTTTACTTTAAAACAGCTTATTTATTCCTTCTTGTGACTTAGTCAACTTACAGTTTAGCTTCTTTGCACATGCTTTCTAGACTGTACTTTGCGGCACTTAAAGGCGCCTGTGCACAACACAGAATGAAACTTAGTTCCTACCCCAAAAGGAACAACAATAAATAAAGGAAATAAATAACATATTGAAAACAAATTGACATAATTTATAATTATGGCAGTTAAAGTCATTCATGCTGGACTCCCAGACATCACTCTAACTGCCACTCTGGACCACTGCTGCCATCTGTTTGTTTGCTTTGCTGACATCCGTGCACAAGAAGCTTCTGTTTGTGGCACTTGGATCAGAGTCGTTTGGTTTCTCAGTAGCTTGTAACTCAAAGGAAAGCGTGGGCTCTGTTATGTGGGACACTCGCATACATCATCACCGAGGGTATGATGGCATCACCTGGAGGACAGAGAACAACACATAGCAGCGGCTAATTGTTACGCGAGGTATTTCCTTGTATTTGGCACAGAGCCCTGGTCTTATCAGATGTAGAGATGCATTTGCAATATGTCCCGGGGTTTAAGGAAACTGGGTTTAAGTGAGGGATTAAAAGATAAGAGATCACCGTGAAGGATAACATCCTCCAGATTATAATTGCAGAGCAGCTCTGGCACATTCTCCCGGTGGCTGCTGCTGCTAAATGGAAACCAGTTAGCTGCTCAAACATATAACTGTGTGTGTGTGTGTGAGTGTGTGTGTGTGTATGTGTGTGTGTGTGTAGTCATTCCCATAACTGTGTGTGTGTGTATGTGTGTGTGTGTGTAGTCATTCCCATAACTGTGTGGCATCGTCACCTCTTGAAAGGACAAAGTGTTCAGTGGAAAAAAAGATGATATTTCACACCTGCCTTTGTGCTGGTGACTCCTGATATCACAGCTGCAGTCACAGAGAATGTTTTTCTACATTAGACAAAAAATATTTTCTTTGAATTATCAGCAGTTTTAATGTTTGTTTTCCTGCGTATTTCTTTTTTCCTCACGTTGGTCCCATACCTGCAGGTCTCTCGAGGAGGACTGCTTTTGAAATAAGCTCTATCAAAACCATAAATCACTGAGCCTAATAGCTTTCATTAACAATCACAACACTTTTGCATCTGTGTGCATGTCGCGCTAATTGGGGCAATTTGTCCCTATCATTTTGGGGACACAGCGCTGCTCTGCCTTTTAATTTATGGCACAAACAACTCGTGGGCTGTGTTTAAAGAGCACCGAAGAAGCAGCTGCTGCGGCTCCTTTGAAGTCGATACTTAGATGACATTAAGGTTCCATGTTGAATTTCAATCTGAAATGATCTTACAATATGGAGCCTCTTTCGGTTTCAGAATATTTTATTAACTTTTGATTGATTTCCCTGTGAGTATTATCAGCCATTTTATAAGCAGGTGTCACACTTGTAACAGCCTTTATCTAATTTTCAAATTGAATTTTCCAAATGCTGTCTCCTCCATGTCCCGATTTAATGACGGCGTCTGTTTTGTCGGATCGTTGCAGTGATTACGGCTTTGAGAGACGGACGGACGGCAAGTGCACCCCTGCCTTTTGGTTCCATCCATCATCGATGTCCAGGAGTTGCACCACGGGGATGACTTTCCTTAACAGCACCGGGTGAGGATGAGAGCTGACTAGAATCAGCATGCACAGTCTCAGCAGCGACTCGCAGGGATTGGATAAAATGAATGGTGCATTTGAGCCGAATAGCTCAGGGTGCTTTAATTAGTTTCTCAGGGACGACACGGCCGGGCCGAGGAAAATGTGGGCTGAATGATCAAACCTGCACTTTTAAAAAACAATCATGAACCAACAAGGATAAAGCACCGGTAATAAAAAGATCTTCTTTGGGTGAAAATTGTGTCAAGAATTTCAAAGAGGGATGAATGAAAAATTCAATGCCAAATCCAGTGTGAGGGTGTGTGAAGTGCCGTGGCTTTTTCCAAAAATAACTCAAGCGCCCAGGAAAAAAGTCTGATTTAACATTGATGATCACAGTGTGGATTAAAGCTCAGAGCTAAATGGTCCTCAGGAGAAATGCATTTAAAAAATGTCTTAAATGTTAACAATAATGGGACTAGTCCATTTTGTTCACTTAGGAAAACGTAAGCAGAGGTATTGTGAATAAAACTGATGGCGATAGATGTTCACCATCTTACCCAGAACACACGTAGGATTGTTGGGGATCAGATGTACGATGCTTGCATATTCTTCCTGTGCTAACGTGTGATTTTCATCCCACAGCCCAACAACCTATGCTTTAGTTTCATTTGTGCTTCTAAAGTGCCTGAAAGTGTGATTGGGAGCATGAATGAAAGCCGTTTCTCTGAGTTAGCCCTGCAATAACTCCTCTCTCGCTGTGACAGCTGGGGCAGTTTGTCATGCTGTGAATTCAGAAATGTGAAGAAGGCTTTATACAAATTTGAAAACTTGAATTATGCTAGCTTTAGCGTATTTGACGCCCAGAATAAGAACTGCTTCTGCTAAAAGTCTGCTTTGGAAAGAGTGGATTACTATAATTACTATAAGGTCATAACGGATTAATGATTATTTCTTTGACTAAAAGTTGTCACTCTGCGATCTCAGCTGCAGAAATCTACCATTTAGGTTCATTACTAGATTTTAAGATTACTATATGTATCTTTTTTTTTTTTTTGCAGCGAGAAAATAATTTTAAAGCAAAAAGTATTCAAAGTCTACAGGAAACTATTCAGGGAACTGCCCTTCTGTATATAACTTTGGCAGCCTGGTGACATGTTAGCATTATCTGGTGTCGTTTTCACCAGACATAATTTTCTTTTTCTCAATATTTATTTATTTATTTTTTGACAGAACCTTTTAAGATAGAGAAAATGTCAGGAAAAATAATTAGATCACATCCCTGCAATCAGAAATAAATGTGATTGTAACAAGACGAAACATTTGTGTTGTCCTGATCGCATGGCAATGAAGCCGTGTTTGTGCAGCAGTGAGCTGCGGTGCTGTATCCATCCGACTTGGTTGTTTATGTCTTGCACTCCAGACACCAGACGGTGCATCCTGATGCTGTTTTTGTGTGTGATCTCTTTAGAATGGCACACGGGTGGTTTAGAGGTGTGGAGATTGAATTTTTTCCCAGTTCCTAACAGAAACTAGTGTTTTAGTTTAATTGATGATTCCAAATTGGTCAGAGGTGTGGATGAATAGTAATTGTTGTCTGTGTACCTCCCCTCTTGCCCAGTGTCAGCTAGGATAATCTATCACCTCCTGTTGCTCCAGCTAGATAAGTGGTTAAGAAGGTGAATTAATGGATGGATGGTAGGTTGTACACTCCAGCACAGTTGTGGAGGGTCAGGAGGGTGTAAGTTGGTCTCTCATCCAAAAAGAAACCGACTTTCATTTCTGAACACATGTAAATGTAAATATTTAATTCTTTGTAAAACAAGGCACTTTTTTTAAAAAAATTGATAAAGATTTGAGTTGCAAAAAAAAAAAGATTGTAGGTGTACAATGACAATAAAGGGCTACTTTTTTCTATTCTATTCGAATGGATTAACTTTTATGAAAATAAGATTATTACTATTATATATAGCTTCTTTGGATGGTGTTTTATCCTTGAGCTTGAGGGTCCTGCACTGTATCTCAGCTGTTCCTAGGACTGCACTCTTCTGGACAGATATCTTGGGTGTTGTTCCCGGGATCTGCTGGAGCTGCTCGCTTAGCTTGGGGGTCACTGCACCGAGTGCTCCGATTACCTCTGGGACCAGTGTTACCTTCACCCTCCACATCTTCTTGAGTCCTTCTCTCAGTGGGCATGTGGCAAGAAATACCAAGGGCTGAGTTCCTGATGAAGGCTCTTAGGGTCCTGTTGATCTTGTACAGTTCTAGGTACTCGAGGATTCATGTGTGGGGGATCGAGTCATAGGCCTTCTTGTAGTCAATCCAGGCAGTGCACAGGTTGGTCAGTCTGGTCTTTCAATTTCGAGCAACTGCTCTGTCTGTCAGTAGCTGGTGTTGAGCTTCTCTGGTATTCCTGCCAATTCCTTTCTGTGTCGCACTCGTGGTTCATGTATTGAGCCACGTGCCTGTTCATCTTAGCTGCTATGATGCCTGACAGGAGCTTCCATGTGGTACTGAGGCAGGTTATTGGCTGGTAGTTGGATGGGAAGGTCGCTGCTGGGGATCATTAGGAGCCTTCAGTTACATATATATGTGGAAAGCCTAAGGGAGGCACGTCAGCAGCACTGTTAGTGACAGTCAACATGATATTAATTAGTCAGACGCAGCATGAAACAGGTGGGTTGCAGAGTGGCTTGCAGTTGTGCAACAGTTTCAACAGCGCTCCCTACAGGATGAGAAATTGGTGAGCAGTGTGTAACCTGCTGAGGCTGGCACTGAGATCAGCTGATGTGTTTTTCTTTTTGATTATTTGTTTTTTAAAAAATTAAAGATCAGCAAGGTAGCAAAAGCTAACTCTAAGCTTTCTTACATAATTCATGTCCAGAGGGACTGTCATAAACCCTCCCTTTCTGTTTAAAGATACTTGGATAAAGAAAACATATAATTTTCTGACATGTAGTAAGGATTGTAAAATATCAAATGCTGTACTCTGAATATGTATAACAACCAACATGATTAAAGAAAACATGCAACACAATATCTCTGTGGCAAAAATGGCACATTCATTGTCACCAGAACATTAATCAGGGTAAGTGCTTTTTAAAATTTCTGAAGGAGCCTCAGCACGGCTCTTTGTTGCAGGAACATTGACATTCCCACCACATTTTAGAGTTTCTGTCAAAGGGCACATTGTTTGTGTTAGCGTCTACGCCCCTCACTACACAAACAGCACTGCTGGCACTTCAAATTGAAAAGTTTTTTTTCCTTTTTTCTGTTAAGTTTTCTTGTGAATCTAAATGAGGGAAGTGCAGACAGATTAGGCTCTGCTGTTATTTTAAACATAAATATGGTTAGTTTATACGAAGAGAAGTTTATACGAACCTTATATGAAGTTTGTGTTTGTCTGATGGCACATCTAATCAGTTTCATTTGCTTTTCCACCTTCAGCTACAGAAAAGTGGTCTCCAATACCTGTACAGCTGGTGTGAGCGCAGAGTACACAGCCAGGAGGCAGCATTGTCCTATCCAAGCACCCAAAGGTCTCCACCTGGTTACCAGTGAGGGTTCGCTGACAGCCGTGTTAGGCACCAATGTCACCTTTCTTGTTTTTCTGGAGGAGGTGAGCTGTATCCAATGTTTCCCATGAAGTCACACAGAGTCAGTGTCATTATATTTACAGTGTAAATAAGGGCAAAGTCAGAACTGTTAGCAAATATTAGTGAATTGTTTCAAATGTACAGTTAGATTGGAAATGGCTATCTGGGTTGTTTCTATAGCAACACCAGCATCCTCAGCTGTGACTGTGCTGTATCCTCTCATATTTTCCTGTGTTCACACTCTAAACTAAACGTACATGTTTAAAGGGAGAAAAATTCCCTTTCTACACCTTTTTTTTGCTTTTTATGACCAAAAGTACTCACATACTTTGACATAGTTACACATCAACACAATTAGTGATCCTAAGAGGTGTTATCGTATTAGTAGTGTTAGGCTTTAGGGTTCAAGTTACTTCTCATCATCATTGAAAACAAAGAAGATACTCAGACAGGGACTGCCAGCCTGAGGAGTCCTGAATGCAGTAGCACAGTTTCTTTTAGGTGGGACTTCCTTGTGATTATAGAGTCAGCTGTGCGGATTGTCTTTGTTTTTAAATGCAGATCGTAAAGCAAAGTAATTAATAATTAGTAATACAGATAGTAACTACTATCTGCTGCAGTGAAACTCTTATATCTGGAAATTATCCTTTGTCCTCTGAGAGGGTGACAGCGTCTGCATGTAAAGGCAGCAGATCGTGACCTGTGCTCCTGTTGGAAAAAGTTGACAGTGTACAAACTGTGAGTCACAGTGTCTTTTACAAGCATCCGTACATGATGAGCTAGGACTGAGATCCATGTCACTATTGACACTGTTAACTTTGGAGTAAAGTCAGTGTCTGACAAAAGTATTACACGCCTTGGAAATGAGACTGAGCTGAGTGACCACGCTGACAATTGCAGCCCTTAGCAGGGAGTGTGATAAACATTACCTACATTATTGTGCCTAGAAGGAAAACCGTGCTCTGTGTTGGTCAAATGTAATAAAAGCCAGCTCAAACCAGAATGAATATTTCATAAAAGGCCATACCTGCAGATTTCCTGGAAGTGTTTGTCCTGTTCAGGGTGACGGGGCGAGGACGAGCATCACTCTGGACTTTGGAGATGGCCACGCTCTTACATATTCCAACGTGAGCTCCATCGAGGAGGGGATCAAACACATCTACAAAGCTGTGGGAATCTACCGAGTGACCGCTACCGGGGAGAACAGCTTGGGCTCAGAGACCGCCATGCTCTACCTGCATGTCACATGTGAGATACCGAGTTTTGTGAAAGATGTTTTTGTGCTCTTTGTTTCAGCTCTTTCCACTTTTTATCAGAGTCTATGGAATTGCTGTTTCCTGCTTGTACGACATTCTATCCTTTATCTCTTCACAGAACATGTTCCCCTCCCTTAGCCAAACAAACAAGTGAGACAGAATAAATCCCATTTCTCTTCTACTCAGTTCAGCTTATGCTTTGCAGCCACTCAGCCCGCAGAAGCCACGGCAACCTCATACGTAACAGGGCTGACCACCCCCCGTGTATTCAGGGGTGACAGATGTAACGGAGCTGACTTATTGATCAGGGAGCAATGTTGCCCCTACCAGTCTGTCAATCCTATGTGCCAACCGTACAAATAGAGCCACCGCAGGCTCCAGAGTGCCACGGATGAAAAATAGTACACAGATGGCAGCCGGCAGTCCCAGAGCAAGAGCGAATCTTGAACAAACTCACCCTCCTTACCCACCTATAAACCCCATCTCCTCCCTCTTTTTTCCCCTCATTTGAACCAACAAAGTTATTTCATTTATTTTTATCCTCTTTTCACATACTGTGGCGCAGAGCGTCGAGTTCACACTGTGATGTATATGTGTGCCTGAGTAGGTCAGCTGGAGTATATCCATCTCTCAGCTCCATTTGTGGCTGTGAGGAATAAGGAAGTGAACCTGACTGCTGTTCTGTGGCCCGGCCAAGTGGGAACGGTCACCTACATCTGGTGGATCGGAAATAACACAGAGGTACAGCGCACTCAAGAAATTCACCACTTCTCTCAGTACTTCTCTTCTTCTTTTGCCCATTTGCAATTAAGTAGGTTGCTGACTCTTCTGGTCCAAAATGTGAGAATCATTATTTTGTGGAGCTATTTTTGTGCATGCAGGTTGGAAAATGTGTAGCCTTGTTAATCAGCGTCAATAAAAATGGTGGAACGTGCTGACCTGTTCACATAGTACCTTAATTACTGATAACCAGTGAAGTGAAAGCATCTTAGTGTTAGTGTAAAAATCCTCCAATTCTAGGGCCTGCTGCAGTCAGGCAGAGCCGATCAATCACACAGAGTTAGAGGGTCAGAAAAGACATATTTTTCTGTTAATCCCTTTGCGGCATCTAGCCATGTGGATAGTTTCAGCTTGGGGGACACAGCTTTGGAGATATCGGCCTTTGAAGACAAAAGATCTGCATGGATTTTGTTCAGAATAGCGAAACGTGACAGTTTAAAAATGGAACAAAGACTTCTGGAAACACTGCAATTCAGAAGCAGTTTACAAAATAAAATTAATCAGCTTCCACCTTGCTGGTGGATTGAGTGACCATTATGTTTACATTTAACAGAGTATTTGCGTGATTATGCCAAAAGTACCAGTCCAACAACTGAGCATGGATAAACTTTTTGTCAAAAAAGGGCATTGGTCTTGGCAGAAGATATAAAACTTTTTTTTAAAAGTAAAATATATAATCCTCGCACGTTCTCACTGCCATGGTGCAGGTAAAATAAAAATTATAAATGCTACTGGTGATGGTGATGTGACCTATTAGGATAGTGCTGCCATGTGTATCACTGTCTGATCAAGTTGCTTTCAAAGTGCTTAAGTTGTCACGTATTGTGGAGATGTAAAGAGCTAGCTTAGCTCTTAGCACGGGGGATCCCTCATGATTCATGAGTGGGAGGTTAGCCAACTAAATGTAAATAAGACCACAAGGTTAACGTTGACTCCACAGCTACAACTCCTGATACAAGAAGAAAATCAGGTCTATGATGTTAATGCACCAAGTTAGCTTGCTATAGTTGCTTAGGGTTAGCTTTGCAACTCACCATTGGTCAGCTGGTTGCTAGTAAGTGATGTCAGCAGTGATGTCAGCAGTGATGTTCGTCATCATCAAACAAGAACTTTGGCTGTCAGACACTGACACTTCTCACCATACTACACACAGCAGTGCTGCTTTGACTTCCTAACAGTTAGCCATTATTCAAAGGTTTTACATGTAAAAGGCTAAACAGCATCTCATGCTACCGCAACCACAAAGTGGACAAACACAGCAAAGTTCTTCAATAGATAAATAAAGTTGGTGTATCTGCTCAAAGGCTGCAGGTGATTCCTGGAGTCATTTTCCCCCACTGTGGTATGAAGATGAGATGCAATAGCACCCTAAACTTGAAAATCACCCTGAAAATTTAAAACTGGTGTTGGGAGGAAAAGTTTGCTTAAATAAAGCATGAATTTGTCAGAGAAATCAGTTTTAAATTTTCACTCCATCTAAGAGATATGCTCCTTATGCTGTTGGAAAAGTAGCTGTTAGGATTCTATTAGAACTTCCTGAAAAAGTAGAGTGTTGTTCCTCCAAATATAGCAACTGTCAGAGTGCAAACACGCTGACCCCGGCTTTACTAGCATCAACAGGATTAGCAACTAATGTAATCAATACACTAGATGTTAGAGAACCGTAACATTTAACATGACACATCAAAAAATTTATATTACAAGAGAGTAAAAAGAAACAATTCAAGCATTGTGGTCTGAGGATGCACTGCTATAGCTGTAGAAATGCTCCACTCCTCTCTGTCTGTGTAATTGTAGCTGGGTAAATGTGTTTGCTCAGCACTAACAGGGGCCTTTCCACGAGGACGAGCAGTTCTGTCACTTGGTAATAAACAGTGGCAGCATTAGCATCTTAAAGCTATCTGAAGAACAAATGGAGACGTGAGTAATGACAGTAAGGAGCTGCTGGTGTCACACAGGAAACTCCCTGTAGGCCTCTGTGCTGCATGCAGCACAGCACAGACTTTAGCAACGCTGTGTGTCATCGTGCGTGTGTGTCTGTGTGTGTTTTTGTCAGTCGGCCAACAGCCTGACACCTCTGTAGTGTAAATAACAGCAGTGTGAGATGTTAACCAGCCGTTGATAAGGGTCTCTCATGGGAGCACGTACAATCTGACTCCCCATCTCCCTCTCCCCTTCTTCCTTCTCCCTCTCTCTCTCGCTCCCCCAGCAGCCAGTAATCACCCTAGAGGGAAGTGTGGCGTACACATTCTCCCGGGAAGGCATCAATACAGTCACTGTGCAGGTGTCTGCAGGGAATACTATTCTGCAGGACAGAAAAACCATCGCTGTACACGGTGAGCCGAATTTCTCACTCAGTGTCCACTGGGAATCTGTTGCTCTGCAAACAGGCTGATAAGTTTGGTCTCCACAGTGGAATAATAATGCTGCTTCCCTTTGATGTTATACTTCTTAGATGTCATTCTTCTACTTAATGTTTTAAAAATAATCTGCCATTGTCCAGACTTAGAGGTCATTTTTAACCATATGCTAAAACTTTTCCTTTGCTAAGCTATAACAGAAATTGTATATAAATGACAGCTGTAGCATTCCTTTTGTTCAAATAGGGCCGTCTGTGGCTCCAAAACGCAATAATGATGTCGTCCAAAATGTTAACATCAAAGCTTTAAAATCTCGAGTCCAAACATGAACGTCTACATGTTCATATTCGCCTTTAAATTTCTCTTTTGTTTCCTCTAACTCAACATGATGCATAACTGATGATGAATGTCTCTGAGACAACTTCCCGTTCTTTTTCCCAGTTATTCACCATTTAAGCTTTAATTGAAAAGATGCTTTTATTGGCTCAGTAAACACTACAAATCATTACGAACTGTGTTACAATATAAGTGATACGAGCTTGGAGGAGTTTAGAGCAGAGCTGCTGCTCCTTCACACTGAAGCTACCTGAGGTTTCTAATCAGGATGCCTTCTGGCTACATCCTCTTGGAGGTTTTCACCCAATTTGGAGGAGAGGCCCAGGAGTGTCTTAGGAGAGATTGCATGGCTCATCTTACATTGGAGTGCCTCAGGACCTGCTAGGAGGAACCTGAAAATGTGGCTTAGAAACTGATGTCTAGAATAACCTTCTGAGCTGCTGCCACTGATACTGGACTTTGATTGATTGGCAGAAAATTGATGCATACATTACCTTTGAACTCCCAAGATTCATTTTTCAAAGTTACTACACATGATTCATTAACATCCGGTGCATGCTAACTGTATTTATCAATCCTTTTTATTAACAACTACAACACAAAGCATGATGAATAGTTTATTAAGAACATCAGCAGCTAAAAAAATGACTAAGCTGGTACAGAAGGACAGCGCTCTATCATCTATGTTCTCATACTGCAGCTTTTTCTCCCCTTGTAAGATCTGAATGGAGGCCGAACCTGAAAATAAACCCAGAATTTAGCAAAAAGAAAAAAAAGCACACGTACATGATCTGAATCTTAAAACCGAGCTTTGCATTTAATGACAGATGAAAGGCATAAGCTCCCCTCACACATTTACTTTTCTTCCTGCAGAATATTTCCGATCTCATCTGCTCGCCTTTTCATCAAACCTGGATGAGCACAACCCCGATATTGCAGAATGGAGACTGGATGTGAGCCGAGTCATTAAGAACTCTCTGATCCAGGTAAAGTTCTCTCTGGCTCTTTTGTGGCAACTGTCGCCTTCCTTTGGTAAATACTGTCAGCGCTCAGCTGGACCTCTGAGTGCTGCGTGACCTCCCCGAGGCTTGGAGACATGAATCTGACTTTTATGATGATAAATGACAAGGCAAGAGGGAGAAGAGGGGAAAAAGATAGTTCAAGAGCTGGCTGATTGCTGCTGCTCGCGGACCCTCAGAGTTCAGGGCCGTACAGTAACGAGGTTGTGTACAGAAGAATAAACGTCAGTGCGGGTCTAATGCGTGTTCTGCGCTGACCTGAAGGAGCGCTCGGAGACGAGTGCTTTGCAATCCGTCAAATGGACGACATGATTCAAACCCACACATGACATGTTAGGTACAGAGTTTGCCTCATTAACTTGCCATTATTTCTTCCAGCATCCTCAGAGTGTCAATACGTTTTCTGAAGCAGAGGAGGAAGCAATCTGAGCTTTCCATCATATTTTCACACTTTTTGATCTTGCAAATCAAAACGGATGCTAAAAATATACAGCCTGTCTTCAGTCTTCACTGAACACGTCAGTTCGCTATTGACATCTTTTTTTTCCATGACATCCACAGCCCGGAGGCCAGAACGCATGCCGAAAAAACAACAATAACTTTCAGACAAAAACACGACGCACTGGTTAAAACCCAGCGCGTCAGGAGGAAAACCCAACAAGGGAAAGCTGGCAGCTTCAACTGGAATCAATAAGGCATCCAGAAATTCATGTTTTTTTTATTACACCAGTCCTCCCAACCCAGCTCATCAGTTTGATTTTCTTTAAGCGGCGATCTGAAAGTGAGCTCCAAGTGAAGGGCTGCCATTGGTTGAAAACCACACCTGACCTTTAAGATTTCATTCATGCTCGAGATGAAAAACTTATCTCAAAGGTGAACCCTGACATCCCTCTTTCCAAATTACATACAAGATTCTGTACGAGCCAGCCGAAAAAGAAAAAAGAAAAAGAAAAGCCTAAAATGTAAAATCTGTGGCGGGGTTATATTCTCTTAACGCCGGGCCACGCTGTTTGCATCTTTCAAGACTGTCACATGAAAAAAACTGATATTTTGACAAAAAAATACTATCTATTTAGAAAAAATAATATTTTTGCTCTATCGTATTATAATTCAATTCAATCTTATTTATACAGCGCCAAATCACAACAACAGCCGCCTCAAGGCGCTTTATATTGTAAGGTAGACCCTACAATAATACATGCAGAGAAAAACCCAACAATCATATGACCCCCTATCAGCAAGCACTTTGGCGACAGTGGGAAGGAAAAACTCCCTTTGAACAGGAAGAAACCTGCAGCAGAACCAGGCTCAGGGAGGGGCGGGGCCATCTGCTGTGATTGGTTGGGGTGAGAGAAGGAAGACAGGATAAAGACAAGCAGTGGAAGAGAGACAGAGATTAATAACAAGTATGCTTAATATGTGCTTTTCAATAAAAATAACGTTCACTAGAACACGTCAATAACAATATCCTTTACTCTTGCCTTGCAATCCAGCCATCATCACGACAGCAAAAAAACACAAACTGCTTAATTTTTTAAACAAAGTATTTTCAAATATGGCATCAAAACTGTCTGTTTCCCACTGCGGTGAGTTTACTGCAGGATGGAATACAATCACGGACACGCGTCCAGTACCTTTGAATGAACACAGTAACAGTAAGGACATTTAAAGGAGACCTTATTAAATCATCTGTGATTCATTTATTTTAGCCCTGTTTTTATTTAAAAAAAACTAATAAAGCAAGTTTCTATAATTAATCAATTGCAATTACTTTGATACAGGAAATTAAAATTTCACCATGTAATCGTGGAATTGTAATTTTATGCTTTAATTTTTTGTAAACTTTCTTCTGCAAAGCTGCTCATCACTCAGAAACAGCACTTTGAAAATGATATTCAAAGCCAAGTTTTGGACTGCAATGCACATTTAATCCAGCAGATGGCGGCTGACGCAGCACTGTTCAAAGCAGGACTGAAGTTAAATGCAGCTTGGACTCCAGTCGGGTTCAGGAGTAGCAGACATCCTCTAATCAAATGTACTGTGTGACACATTTAAAATTATGATTAAAAATGGCATAATCACTTTTTTAAATCAGTTTGTTTCCTCCTGTGACCCTGAATTTGATAAGTGGAAGAAAATGGATGGATGGATGGAATTTGTTACCTTGAGGGACATTTGTGTTCATGTTTTGGAATAGTTTGATGTTTTGGAAACTTAGTTTCCTTTAGTCCTCCTTCCTTTGTTGTTTTCCCATTCTGTTCTTGCTGGAGACGTAACACTGATCTTACTGATCTTCTCATGTGAGTAAGTGAGAACATTTCTAAAACCTCAGACTGCAATAAATGTTTAAGCTCGAATGATAAATGGTTGCAGCCTGAATCCAGCTAAATTCTGGTCGACGAAGGACCAAAAATATGTGGGCGAACGTTGACTGTCAGAGCTTTTTTGTACTTATTGTTAAGGTTTCATCTCTGTGAGCTGACTGCTGCAGTTCAGTCTGACCCTGTCCACTCTACTGTCCTACAGGCTACAGGCGTGAGAGAGGATCAGCTCCTGGTCACTGTCCTCCCAGGTTTACCCACAGCAGCAGAGTTTTTCCTCCTGCCTGACAAACAGATAACTGAGGGGAAACCAGAGAAGAGCTCAGCTCATTTAGATCAGGTGAGGCAACAACACCTGCTTTCTGACCTGATGCATGTCCTCCAGACTCGCTGCTTTTCCCCATCTCCACAGTGTAGGTGGATGGTTTCACCTTGTTATCCTCACTCGAACTATACCAAGTTTGAAGCATTGTTCCCCGTTTCTGCCTTATGACTCATAGGGGAATTTTTCTTCTCCTAGCAGCAGCAGCTTCTCCTGTAATTGCTCTTTCCTCCAGCAGATGTCAGTATTAACCTACTCAAGCATGTCCAGTTTTTTCTTCTCCAAAAGTCTAATTTTGGAATACGCCCGAGGAATATCTTTGCAATAGATTCATCAAAAAGCCTGACAAGTATTAACAGGTTATCGGGGGGAATGACTTTTAGACTTACTTAAGTCACATCCTGTGGGGTGCAGGGGGGAGCACTAGAGGGTGGCAGCATCTCGTAAGAGCCTAAAAGGTCACACAAGGAAAATTTTTGTGGTCCATCAGTCACTAAATCACCAGCATATCAACATGAGCTCAAATAGCCCTCAGCTTCACGTATTAGATAATGACTGATAATGTTGGCCGCGCTCTCTGTGGGAAGCACTCAACGGGCATGTGCAGAGAAGGAAGCTGGGAAGAGAATCAATTAGATTTTCCTCTTCCTTCCCCGCTCACACCTGGTTGATTGCCTGGAAAGTTCCTCTGCCCTACCAGCCGGTGATAAATCTTCATTCAAGGTTGGCATCTTTAAAGTGTAGCGCAAGCTCCGCTTATTAGAATGTATAATAGATTTACTGACCCTGGTATACAGTGGGAAAAAGTAATTAGTCAAAGCATAGTCTAAATTTAAACAGCTAAGAAGTATAAAGGCGAAGATGAAGGACTACAGAAATTACTCATATCACAATTAATTTGGCAAATGAGGCAGATAAGATAGATGAAGCCTCTACAGAGGGAAAAGGCTGCTGCAGGGAGAAAATGGAGAATTTTGTTTAGTTTTGCTCTGCAGAGTAATGCAGCAGTATATATGCTGATCCCATAAATGAGGAAAAACAGATTAATGATAGTGAAATGTCATTTATAAAGAGGCTCATTTGACTGAGAATTGGAGCCCTGAGACAGAGATTCATGGAAATGAAAAGATCTGTGTGAGGAAAGTAAGATTTCCTCCCGCTCGCTATAGTTTACCTTTGGGTCATGATAATCTGCTCAATTTGTATCAGAGTCAGATGTTCTCAATGCAGAAGGTTACTCGCCTGTCTGGAAAGCAGAGATCAAGTGAGACTGCTTGGTATGCATTATGCATTACACTGGAAAGGTCCCACAGACAAAGGCTCTTACATAAACAGAAGAAAGCTCGGATGGGGTTGTCGGTGGAGGTAGCGAGGTTTCTTCGGGTCATGGGTGCTTACAAATAATTCAGCAGCCTTGCAAAAAGCATTACATTTAGAAAGTTTGGTATTCAAAGTATATTCAGTTTGGTGGTAATTTGCATGCAGTGATAGCCTACTTCAGGTCAGGTGCGCATGTAACTGCTTCCATTTGTCTTTCACAGGCAACCTAAAGTTGCATTAGTCAATATTTTTATGGTGGAAACAAATCAAACATCGATCACAAAGTGTCTCTCAAATGGACAAAACCACAGATAATTATCACCCAGCTGCTGAACTACACCACCTTTTTATTTCTGCCCCATAGATTTCACTCCATAGCACTTTTCTAGATACATCATGTGGCAAAAATCTCCAAAAATTAGCTCAGATAAACTCAGCGCAACACCTGCCCAGTATGCAACTGTTCTCATACCAGTGTATTAAACTGATAATAACTGTGTGTCACTGCTGTGTTTTTGCTAGTTTTAGTGGTTCTTATGCACAGACGACTTTTAGAGGATCGCAGGAGCCACGGTGACATCACCGACTTCACCCAATGGTTTATGAATCCTCCTGGCCATCTCTTGACTTTTTTGAGCCATGAAATTGTGTCATATTTGATCAGTGAGCTGCACCCGTGCATCATATAGACACAGATACAACAAATGCTCTAAACATACAATTACTGCACATAATCGTGCGAAATACTTCATGAGGCCTCCACACCACAAAGGTTATCCTATTCAGTGAATAAAGTTAGCCTCTTTAGTGTTCACCTGCTATATGTGTTATCTTATCCATTACGCCGTCGTGCATTTATTGCCATTTATTTTACAAAGGCTGCCAATGTCAATTCAATTTTATTTACACAGCGCCAAATCACAACAATAGTCACCTCAAGGCGCTTTATATTGTAAGGTAGACCCTACAATAATACATACACAGAGAAAAAAAACCCCACTGGCGACAGTGGGAAGGAAAAACTCCCTTTTAACAGGAAGAAACCTCTGGCAGAACCAGGCTCAGGGAGGGGCGGGGCCATCTGCTGCGACCGGTTGGGCGGAGAGAAGGAAGACAGGATATTTCTGCTTTTGAGTCGGGTATTTTGACATCAGAGTCTAGGGGACCGATTCGATTTCAGCGCCAGCCTCAAGTGGTCATTCGAGGAACTGCAGTCATGGGCTCTTCACTTTGGCTTCCTTTTTCAGCTGCGGAGGTTGCTGCTCGTGACAAATCATTTTAGGATTTTAAGTAAAACAAAACAAAAAAAATATATATATATATTATATATCTTGTCCTGACCCCCGTCAGTATATTAAGATAACTCGTCTTTCATAATTCACTTTGGCTGTTTTTTCCTATCATTTACAAACTCACTGAGCAGACTCTGAAACTTTTAGAAATGCTTTCAAAGGCAAGCGAGTTTTGGACTCAATTATTCAACCTGGCATCAAAGGACTGATCGTGACTTTGACCACATTTGCTCTTAAATGTCAAAACACAGATAATAAATGACGAGTCAATAGCAAAGACGGATGAGACTGTAGTGTGATGAGCTTGACTTTACCTTTTTTTTGACCTGTAACATTTTCCTTTTTTATTTATTAAAATTGCAACAAAGGGATCTGAAGCTCCCCTCTCTCCATCTTTGTCTCAACAGCTTTCCGAGCTTTTGCTCAGCGCGCTGAATCAAAATCTCGTCCAGTTCACGTTGCGGCCCGGGGTCCAAGTCACCGTGTATGCAGCGCACTTATCAGCAGGTAACAATCCCCCCTGCATGTGTGTGCATTCACAGCTGCCCAGAACGGCCTTTGTACCTTGTGTAGCAAGCGGGACAAAACATAGAAACAGCAGTCAGTCAGGTGTATTTTATTACTTAACTAACAACCCCAACTCTGTGTCTGATTGGCTCCCACCATGTAGCTACACAGAGACATTCAGAGAGTGAACATCGTTACAAGTATGTGTGCCTCTTCCTATTGGGGATGCTGCTACTGTCCTAAAGGGGCTAATAAGATAAAGAGTAAGAGAAGTCCATACTACTGTATATTAAAATGATTCATCTTTGATTCACATAGGCTTCATGTGTGTAGACTGCTCATTGCATGATTCAGCTGGGTGGAAATACGGGTGGTGTCGTTGATGTGATATTTACGCTCTGGGGTTCCTGTCTCCCCTTTCTCTGCAGCGCCCCTAGTGGACACCAGCGAGAACCACAGTGGCTCTGCCATGCTAATGCTGCTATCAGTAGTGGTTGTGGGTTTAGCTGTATTTGTCATCTACAAATTCAAGAGGTAAAGTGTTCACGTCTATATAGTTGTCACATTGTGCGCGATAGGGAGTTGTCGAGCCATCCTGACAGCTCGGTAAACAAAAGCTGTCGCGGGGCTAAGAGAAGGTTGATAGGTGCCTGTCAAATGTCTACCCCGCCGTACCCAGTGCTCCTGGGTGGAGAATTGGCTTTTCCCCTCACTCACTCTCACACACACACACACACACACACACACACACACACACACACACACACACACACACACACACACACACCTGCAGAAATTCTTTTATCAGGTCAGTCTTTACAAAAGAAATGTCAGTTAGTCTTCAGCTGCTATCAATATTAAGCCCTTTGAACACTGGCAGTTGACCTTTCTCAAATGTTAAATTATGTCTCTGCGCCAAGAAGCAGTTCCAAGGGAAAATGATATAAAGAGTCATGGTGAGGCAAGCAGAGACAGAATCAAACTTCACATTTACAGACCATATAATTTCTAATGTTCCTGCCGATTGGCATGCAAACATCGCCAGATGGCTCAAAATAAATAGAACCGCAGATGCGAATGATCAAAACAGCACTGCTGCAAACTGCTGCCACTGTTTTAGTTTAGGCCGTGCTCTTTATTCCTCTGCCTCACTGTAAATCTTTCCTCAAGGAAGATCCCAGGCCTCAACGTCTATGCGCAGATGCAGAACGAAAAAGAACAAGAAATGAGTCCAGCGAATCCAACGGTGGCCACGCCCAGCTCTCAGCAGGACTTGGTGCATTCTTTGGAGATTCTGGACACAGAGTTTAACTCGCGGCCCATCGGTAAACATCAGTTTCAGTATTTTTTTTCTTTTATGCCGTTGTTTATTTCACACCATCGTGTTCACGTGTTGTTTCATGACACTGTACTGTGCGTTTTGTTATGTGTTTCTCAGTGAAATGGTCCAGTCAGCAGGACAACTAAATGAAAATGAGTATGACAAACAGTGGAATTGCCTCTCAGTGGTACAATTAACACATTTTTCTCTCTTTTCATGTCCCTCTTTAATCACCTCAGAATATTGATGGGTGGCAAATGAAAGAAAAAAAACAAGTGGCTCGGGAACATCTATAACTGTTCCGCTCTACTTTACTTAAATAGCACCTTTAATTTTAAGATGCAGCTTGAAATTTATTACACTTGTCAAGAAAATGCATCGGCCCGGCCGAGTTTGGTGATATGAAGACTATAAGATGATTCATACCAATTTTTTAATTCATTATTCATTTCATGTCTCATTCATTCAGCTTTTCTTCCAGTTTGTCACCCATATGTACATCCTGAGTCAACATTTGCTTGTCTAACATGCTAACACATAACAAGCCTTTCTTTGGGGTGGGAGATGTAGTTTTTCGTTTTTGTGGATCCCTCTGAATGTTGGTGGTGTATTTGAAGTTTAAAGTGTCCACATTTGACAAAATTAATAGCGAAATAGATCTGAATAAATTCATTGTTCCCAGAATTCCCGGCACTGGTGCGATGAGTTGTGTATGTCAGTTAGTGTTAGCGAGCTTCTGCTCTGTTGTTGTGTAGCTGCACGTCATCTCACTCACGCATTTAAAGCGCTTCTTGTCATTAATCATTATGTTGTAATTGTCACTTGTAGGCTCATTCATTGCTGTTTAAAAATCATATATTGTCTGACACCTCGTGATGTCTAACCGACACCTGGGCAGGTGAGATTGTCACGTAAAACGACTATAACGTGAAAGGCTTTGATTCCCCGCCTAAGGTCAATTAAACTTTGCATTTAAATGCATCTTTTGTCCCGTTTCCTTCCCCAACCGGTCGCAGCAGATGACTGGTTCTGCCAGAGCTTACTTCCTGTTAAAAGGGAGTTTTTCTTCCCCACTGATGCCAAGTGCCTGCTAAAACGGGGTCATCTAAACATTGGGGTTTTCTCTGTATTTTTAGGCTGTATTTTTTCCATCCATATCTGAAGTACCTGCACTGCTTTGGTAAAGGAGGCCTCAGGTGTTTGGTGGGGACCAATAAACAAGGGAAAGGAGCTCAAATGCAGGACTTTAATTCATGAAGTTTTCAAAATAAAACTTCAAACGAAGGCATGAGTCTCCTAGATGTCCAGACTGTTCCTAACACATATTTACAGTATTTAATGATCGATACTGTTGTTCGTGTAATCAGCTAGCACTGAATAAGCACTGACACATTTCTTTCTTTTCTCCACCAGGATGTATGAAACCTCATGTACATGTGAAATTTTCCACAGAACTCCCCACGTACATCGTCTAAACTCTGGACTGGATCACTGTTCCAGCTCTGTCATGGATATTTTTTACCATTTGGGACACAATGGTTTTGAGCTTTATACCTGTGCATGTTGGACCCCGCTGACACATACTGTGCTCTGTTCAAACCAGAAGAAACTGTGTACAGGTTTTCAATTTATTTTAACACGTCTCCGATAAATTTAATATTTAGAAAAAAAGTCCCGTTTATTTATACGAGTCGCATCCATAATGGAAGAAGGATCGGCGGCGTGAACCGAAGAGCAGAGAATGTGTAACGAGCAGCAGCGTTTTGGTTACATGTCTGAGATTGGTTTGCTGTTCTATGAAGTAACAGCAGTAGTGTATTATTTATTCATGAATATACATGAAGTATGTTATTGAAGTGAATTACACATTTATTTTGTAAATCATGAATGTCTATGTTAGAAATAATTTGTGTATTTTAATAACAAATGTCATACTAAAAAGAGATACTGTTATAAAATATGAATAGGGCACCTCAAAGCTTTTGGTCCATTGTCTCTCAGAAAGCTGATTTATGGCACAATACACATTTTCTACAAAAGTGTTAATTTTTTTTCCCAATTTTAATTTATTAACAACCGAACAACAACAGGGTGTGGATCTCTGGATTAATTTAAACCTTGCTGTTAATCTAATGCTTCTGGTACTATTTATGATACACGCCAGTTTGTAAAATGTTTTGTGCTTCAGAATATCACTTGATGGCTGAGGCGCCATCAATCTGCGGGTGACCTCCAAATATCACCGGACCTTTTAGACCTTACAAGATACAACGGATGACGACCTGGCAACGATCCCACAAAGAAAGATCATTCCTGGCCACAGTCTGGGAGGTACTACAAGATGCAGAGAACAACTTATCGCGGCTCAGATTTAAGGTGGCACTTAGGGATGCAGCTGCTTTGTGGGAGAATCTGAAGAGCATGGCAGTGAGAAAGAGAGAGACAGACAGAGACAGGTTGAGAGAGATTGAAGACGGCTTTTAGCGGACATGACGCATTAAGAGCGTTCTATTGGACAGAATAAGAAGAGGTTGGCTTCTTGAATACTTAATGTGGCCTATCAAGCTCAAGGCTGGCTAAGGTTGGTTACACATTTAGGGTAATATCCCAACCTGCTCTCAAGTAGCACCCATCTTCATCCCAGCTCATTATTTCATGCTGTAGGATCAGGAGAAGTAGAGCGCAGATGCTACCAGGCTACATGGATGGTTAGCCTCAGAGGACTGTCAAGCCCTCTGGTGCTCTGTGTGTGTGAAATCTGACAGATGTAAATGCCTGATTGATGCCTTTCATATCTTCTGAGGCAACTTTTTAAGATGTTCTTTTCTCTTTTTTATTTCGGCGGGATGGAGAAATACAGCACAGAGGAAGTTGCTTCTGTTCTGTTGCATCATCTTTCCTGCAAATGTGCCAAAATTCACCGAGTTATGAGATGTAAACTGTGCAGCATCATTTGATTGACTGTAAATTGAGCGACTGGAGAAACTGATGAACAGCTAACGATTGGACGATTCCAATTTTGGTCCAAATCTCCACGCTGTTGACTGAGGCACTAATATTTTCCAAAAACAATTATATGCAGGTCGCCAATGGCTCCCCAGAGGGTGTGAGTGTTTCTTGTTCGGCCTCTGGGCAAAGATGGTCATCGCAGAGACTTTCCAAAAGTGGAATCAGCAGGAAAGCACTGATTTTTCTTAGTCACAGGGAGGGTGCCATCCTATTTTTACTCGAGTGTAGGTGAACCATTATCTAGTCGGGATAATTTGCCCTCGTTGTAATGAAAAGGTCTGACTGTTCAATACTCTGGGGTTCTTTGTGTAATGAGATGTTAAGGTTACACGTGCAAACAGATATGAATCAAGGGTTTTGTCACCAACTAGTGCAAATTGTAAAAGCAGCAGGTAGTTTTGCAGCACAGCTTGTTGATGTGCTCCGATACTGGAGCAAAATTGGTTAGTGGTGTTCAAGTGCTGATAGTTCTTTAGCAGAGAAAACTTGAAAGTAATTGGCTGTAATCATCAGCTTTCTTTATAGCTGTTGAATGGAAGAGTTAGAGACAGTGCTGTAATTCAAGCACACGGGGTTATGGCCAGGTTGTTGCTATCACATGTCTGAAGATCTGAATATTCTTCCCTTCTTTGCATTGCTGGGTGCCTCAGGATTTCCACATCACACTTATTGGCACCATATCGCACTTGAAGTGCTTGAGTCCATATACTTAACAGGGAAATGATGCATGCAGACATCGGGCCATGAGTGTGTTGGTATGCAGCCAGTGTGTCCTGCCCTTAAAACTGAAAAGTGCACAGACAAACACCAGTGATATTTTCAGTTGTCATAGGTCTGTTCAAGAGGAAGTGTTCATATTTCAGAGCTGCATGCAAACATGATTTGGGGAACAAATCAGCTTACATCTTCATCTGTCTTGTGGCTCGGTGTGTTCTGTCTGCTGGTGCAGGACAAAATTTGTACTCAGCTATGAGCTCGGTTTATGGAGTTGTGCACAGTGTACGTGGGTAATTTTACAAACTGGTGATTGGGGTTTTGTTGCAATATATTAAGACATTTTAAGGGGCCTTCTTTTTTGGTTTTTGCTTATTTCAGACATGGCCAAGGTTTCAAAGAACGAGGTCAGGGCATGTATAAGTAATCTTTGTTAGCTAAAAGCTCAGACTGCTCAGTTTCATACGATTTCTAATCTTGGCTCAGTGAGTGCAGATATCCCCATTATGGTCATTTCAGGTGCAAATCTATGGTTGTAAGTGCAGAAGACCCATCTCCCTGCCATTCAACTCTTTAGAATCAGAAGTTGTCTTAAAGACATGGTGCCAAATCAGCTTGTTTCAGATGGAAGGTAAACCCAGGGTCCAGTACAAACATGTTATTTAACACCAACTCATGCAAAGCTACTCTACTAGAGTCCAAGATTAAAGCTATGGAGCTGAAAATGAGCATCATCGCCCCCCTGTAAGAGTATCTTACTAGTGTTTCAATGTAAAGAATGTACTGTAGGTGTGCTGGGATTACTTACGAATTACTTAGCTCGTATTTGAGAGCATTCATATCCATCTCTCTGTCTGTCTCTGGTTTTGCATAGCTTGAGGGAGATACTGTACAGCAGCCTGGAACCACAGGCCTGTGATCAGAAACAGCAGGGCTCTAATATGAACCTTAACTCCAGGGAACAGGAAATGACTCTGACCAGACAAGATCAGCAAGGCCATCATAATAACAGCACCTCCTCCTGCCTGTGAGTTTCACAGGGAGAAAGACAGGTCGAACAGCCTGGAAGCCATGTTAACAAGGTGGCTCTCTGGCCTCCTGGTTAGGGTGAGCTGTGATGTGACAGGACCCAAGGGTGCAGAAAATCAAGTTGTAGCCTAACTCCGAGCTACTCTCTCTCCTTCTCCCCATCTCCTCCGCCCTGCAGAATTAGCAAGATTATTATTTTTGTAGAGAAATAATAATAACAATTAAAAAAAGAGTTTTACTACTGTACAGCTTTTGTATAAGAACAGACGGTAAGGTGTTCCAGTGTTTTTGTTCGACCTCAACTGTGCCGTGTGTAATTGTTTTATGCATTTACAATCATATTTATTAAATGGAAAGAAGTCTGTTAACTGTGTTCTCATTTTCTTACAATATTTGTAAAGAAATACTATGTATTTGCAAAAGTAATAATCAACCTATAAAGAAAACAAGACGAGCACGTGTTGGTTCTTTCTTCTGCACACATACCGTATACTCACCGGGTCCACGAGTCGGAGACATTTTGAATTTAATGGGTTTAAATCATTTATTCTAAATGAAATTATCAGCATGTGTGGATGCCACAAGCTTTTTCATAATTGATTGCCCAAGTTATCCCAGCATGGGATGATAGGACAATGTTCTAAAAAGTGTTGAGCTCATTACCCGACTCCAGTACGAAGCCTCCTCCATGAAGATAAAGAAGTGCTGCTTCTACTCAGTTAGGCTGGATTTGATCCAAGTGAGATTTCCAACTCCAGTGCAGCACACTTTAATATTTCCGATGTCTCACTGTCTCCTTACATTCAGGTTCATACTCATAACAGATTCCATCCACTTTGAAGTGTTTATATAGTTCAGTCCATAAGTACGTGGACAGTGAATTTTTTCTCTGCACCACTGCGCTGGATTTTGAATCCAATCTGCAGACTTTCAGCTTTAATTAAAGAGGTTTAACAAAAACATTGCATTCAACATTCCCCATATTCAGAGGCTCAAAAGTAATTGGAAAATTGACTGGAAAGTAGTTTCATGGCCAGGTGTGGCCTGTTGCTTCCTGTTCCTTATTCCATGACCAACTAAGAGGATAAAGACCTGCAGTTGATTCTGAGTAATGATCTTTAATTACTCATCTGCTTGCTTTTCTTCTTTACACCACTTTCAACACTGACATCATTATGATAGTCCGATAATTTTCTTCCCTGCCTTCGGTGAGCCAGTCAGCCTACATCCTGTGAGCTTTACATCTCACTGTACCTCTGTCATTCTGACTGTCAGTCTGTCTCTGCCTCACCCTGGTTACTCAGAACATATCTGAGCCTCCAACTTCACCACCACCAAAGTCTAGTCTCTGAGGGGTCCTGTCGTGAATTGACTACAGGGGTCTTGTTCTCCCATGATGACTTATTGGAGTCTAATCATGACATAGATCCCTCTGCATGTGGGCCAGGGTTTTAATAGTTTTGCAATTTTCATTAGTTTTTATTTTTATTTAGTTTTGACTTCAGATTTTCAATTTTATATCAGTTTTAATTAGTTTTTACCAATTGTTTGCTAGTTTAGTTTAGTTTTTATTTTTTTGAAAATCCTTAGTTTCAGTTTAGTTTTGATTAGTTTCAGTTATAGTTTTAGTCGTGTTTGCAAAAATTAAGTGCAACAAAATCCCAGTTTCATCATATCAGTCATGCTCTTCTGCTTATCCTTGGGTATGTTGCTATTCCAGCTACCATACCCTGCACCCTGCACAGGTCGCCTGTCTGTCGCAGGGCTAACAGCAGAGACAGACAACTCACATTCCCACCTATGGGTTCTTTAAATAAATAAATACATAAATAAATAAATAAATAAATAAATAAATAAAGGCAGATGAACAACCATTGATACCAGGCAACTATAAAATGTATATCTTGGCCCCAATGAGACTATAACTCTTGCAGCACCGGGTGTTCCTAATTTTGGTTCAAGTGAATTGATAAACTTTTTGAAGGCAATTGACTCACACAGTTATGTAGATGTCCCCGTCCTGTTGTCCCAGGATGCATCACGCTGCCTTGCCTGGGGTTAGCGTCTGTTTCTGGGGATGAGGGTTGAGTGTGGTCCCGTACCTTCTCAAGGTAAGCTAGGTTAGCCTTCTGGTGTGAGCTTTTCAAGTGCACTTTAAGGTTTGTGGGATTTTTTCCCTTTAGAAATGTCCCTCATAATTTGTCTCTTTCCACTACAAGACACTTGCTTTATCCAAAACACAGTCATATTCAAAGTAATCCCAAATTGGACTCTGGCGCTTTCTCCCGACTTTTCCTGACATGATTCTGCGCGTGGGCGGAGCAGCAACACAGACGACTCGACTAACGTGCTGCCACCTGCTGGCATAATGAGACAGCAAGAAAAATCTGGAAACTAAACTTCATTTTCACCCTTGGCTATTGTAGGACACGCACACATCAATGAAAACTAAACACATTTTTGCTATAAATTCAGTTCATTTTAGTTTTGTGAACACTCATTACAGTTTTAGTTAGTTTTCCTTTTTTTGTTTTTATTTTTATTTCCGTTAACGAAAATGTTTTTTCACTTCTAGTTTTCGTTATTTCGTTAGTTTTCGTTAACGATAATAATCTTGATGTGGGCATTGTTAAAGAGAAGGATGCACTGACCAGATCAGCAACATCAAAAGGCCTGAAAGGTCACAGAAGACGACTCAAGTGGATGATTGCTGCATTGTTTCCGTGCTTAAGAAAAACAACTTCACAACATCTAAATGACTGAAGAATACACTTGACTTGGAGGTAGGAGGTGTATCAATGTATGTCAAAGTCTACAATAAAGAGACGCCTTCATGAAAGGAAGCATGATCAAATAAAAGTTTAGAACAAGGTGCAAACCACTGATTACATTCAAGAACAAGGGCAGATTAGCCTCCGTCAGCAAACCTTTAAAAGAGCTCCACACTTCTGATTGATATTTATTTATATAGTTTTTGTCAGATGAATTCAAGAACTCAACATTAATGTGTACAAGAATGATGGCAAGAAAAAAGCATTGAGAAGGACATAAAGAGGTCGTGATCCAAAGCATGTCGCATCCGTTCATGAGTGTTTTTTACTTTTGGTAAATTCTGCAAAACTGAGAATGGATAAAGACCCAAAGCAAACTGCAAAAGCAACCCAACAGTTTCTCAACGCAAAGAAGTGGGATGTTGCACTAGGCAAGGCAAGTTTATTTGTGTAGCACAATTCAACTGCAAGGTGATTCAAAGTGCTGCAGAGACATTAAAACTACTCAGCTTCTTTATGGGTTTTGAAATACTTTGTAATTATTTCCAATTTAACACGACAGCAATGGTGGCATATTAGAAAAAAAGCCTTTAAGATGTAAAAAAATGCAACATGATGATATAATGAATTTTTAAAAATGACAGTGGGATTATTTTACCCTGTGGTAGGCTGGCGACCTGTTCAGGGCGTACCCCACCCGTCAGCTGCTAGGATGAGCTCCAGCACCTACAGCCCTGAACTGAAATAGTTAAAAATCCATAACTGTCAGTAATAACATTCACAAAACATAAAAATGTGAAAAAAGTAAAATAATAATTATGTTCTTATTAGCAACAAAACCCAGCGTAAGAAAATCTAAATAAGTCTGAATGTTCACTTTAAAGTCTCAGCCATCTTTAATAAGACGATTAGTATTTTCCATATTTATATACACAACTTACTTGAGAGAAACTTGACAGTAATTTGACTCTAAAAAAGTCGGGTGCTCCTCCTTCACTCCTCTGCTGAGGGTAATTTAGACCAGTTTGTCAAGCACAGGATACTCTCATAAATGAGGAAGAGAGTCATTAAAGATGAGGATGTTAATTTCAGCATGGATGTAACCTTAATGTTCCAGAGCAGAATATAATGATGCTGAAGTGAGCGATTGTGCATAAAGGATGGGAGTAATTATTACTGGCTCTCTTACGCTTATGTATGCCCTTCCCAAAATAGCTGTGGTTGGAGTGGTGCTGGCGATGATGATGGTGCAACAGCAAAAAGCAAAACTCACAAAGAATGATTGTTTGACTGTACCACAGCATTGCTGCCAGTACACAGTACTTATCAGGGCTGCAGGAGTCGAGGAGCATCTGTCATCTGAATAACAACGATGATGAGTGCGTTACTCATAGTTCACATGATGCACATATCCAAAGGCTTTTGTCATCCTTAACAAAAGAGAGACAGGCCACAGGAAAGTGTCATCACGCACGAGTCGAGGGGGGAGGTCCGGACAAAGTGGCTGGGAACGGAGGAGGAGGGAAGATGGTCGAGGCACTCTTTAATCGTTCTTTGCCAGAAGAGGCTGGAGTGCCCAGGGGAGAGAGAAGATTACCAAGAGATCAATTCCAGCACATGGCTGGCTCTGCTGACATCTCAAGGTAGTGCGCTGCAGTGCCCCCCTGGGACACAGCTGCCAATACAGGCTGGCATTACTGCAGATTTACTGTGAAGGGGACTTCGAGAAAGGCCAGGGGAGGCTTTTGGTGAGAGTTAATAGCTAGAGGATTACATAAAATGTTAAAGTGTAACGAGGGTGGAACTGCCTGACTACGCTAATTTAAAGCTGCAAAGAGAAAAAAAAAAAGTTTTCAAACCGAAATAATCTTCAAGTCCACTTTAACAGCATTTCCTGGGTTTTTATCCTCATGTCTCACCGTTCATCAGTGAAGAAACACGTTGGTTCAGGTATGGCAGAGCCTTTGGCTTTTGTAAACACATGAAGTATGGAAAGAGAAGTCAACAACTCTGTGTGAGCCAGGACTACAAATTATTAATTGTTGCTATTCTCACCTGCAGTAATATACTGCAAAATTGGCTCCATGTTCTTTGCGCATACAGGGGAAGCAGGAAGGCCATGACATCAGGACATAACAGCAGGTATCAATGAAAACAGATGAGAGTGATTACGTCAGGCACAGCCTCATATTACAGTAAAATCAACAATTAATGTAAAAATATAATCTTTATAAAGTGGGATTAAAAGTTAAAAAAAACTCACAGCCACTGTTGAAGAAGCCAATTTTCATGTAATAACATCACATGAAAGCACAGGGTTGCTTAGGCAGCGTGTCCTATGAACTCAACAGACCTGGTGAGGACACACTGCAAAGGGACTATTAATGTTTAACAAAAGTACATAGAGGTGAATATAATGGTAACTGGATACTGGATGCACAGTTTTTTAATGGCCTGAATTTAAGGTCCAGTTAGTGCCAGGTTTTGTTGCATGAGTCCCATGAAGATTTTAGCAGTCGTTTTAGCAGTGAAGGGCGGCGTGGACAGCAGGGACCGTGCAGCTTCTATTTATGGTGAAAGCAAAGCTACAAAGAAGGCCACAGCTAACAAGACAGCCTTCCACTTCCACTGTCCCCTGAGGACAGGGGGCACAGAGAGGACAGATAGAGCTGAAGCC